GAGCTGCCATACTGTTTCCCATAGTGGCCGCACCATTTTACCTTTCCACTGACAGTGCACGAGTCTCCGCATCTTAGCCAACACTTGTTATTTGTGTTCTGGGTTTTACAGGTATCATTGTCTATTCTATGAAATAGAATAAAAACAGCATTTTTACTGGAATTTTCCTATTTTCAAAGCAGAAATATGGTAAAGAAGTACAACTGATATTCAATTAGTCTGTACCAGTGCCTGGCACTTCACATGCATTATCTCAGTTAATCATCACAACGACTCCATGAATGAAGAGGTGAAATGATTACCGAAAGGCAAGACAGTAAGTAGTAAGAGGGACTGAAATCCAGGATTTTGAGTCCATGCTCTTAAACACCTTATTATATTTCTTCTTGATGGATATTGCTTACCTCGGCTGCAGTAAATTTCTCCCTTGGCCCAGCTGTAATCCACAGTTTCACCCCAATTAGTTTCTCAGATGTGATTTCATCTTTTAAGCTAGAAATATGATTTTAAGACAAGTATTAGATCCATAATTTAAATCAATTTATGAATTATTTTAGCCTCTGGACTTTGGAACCAGAGGCCACAGAGGCCCAGAGATGAAGGGATTTAGATAGAGGTACTTGGTCCAGCCTGTCTCCCAAAGTGAGAATCCCCTGTATAGGCTCGCTCCAGATTGGCCTCTGCTCAAACACTTCCTATATGAGCCTATATATAAGGCTTCCTATATAAGCCAAGGTGTCCAAACTACAAACTACACCATGCTAGAGCATAGAGTCCTCCAACTACTAATTCAATCAGCTCTACTATTAGCTTGTATCATAACATCCTTAGCCATTAAGAAACCCCCCCACCCACACACAGGAGATATTTCTCATTTTTCCTTTCTCTAAACTGAAGTATTGACCCAAGTTAAAATATGGAGAAAACCTCTAACGTCTCAAAAAGTTGTAAATGTGTAATTAAAAATAATTTTTTGTGATTTGAGAGAAGAGTTAATAATATATAATTGGCCGATTTTCAGAAGAGATGTTTTGGTAATGATTTATTTACTTCTGAATGATTTTTAAACTGAGCTCCTCCCACCTAAATAATCTATCTTATTTAAGAAAATACAGACTTTTCAGTATTACTAACAGGCTATTATCATCACTTAGAAGGAAAAACAATAGACAAGGTCACCTCTGAATCTTCCAATTACTTCGAAGTCTTTTCTGCATGGATTTAAAGCCATTGTTGGTGGTAAATACTTCCTTTTTGTATGCATTGAAAAGAATGGTGCTCTGAAGCTCCTTCTCCATGGTTACCTTTTGGAAAAAAGATAGAAGAGGAAAAAGGGAAACAATAAATAATATTCCAGAAAGAATAAGTGGTTTATTTCTTATCAAGAAAGGGCATACAGCTGCAACTTAGCTATGACATCCTTTCTATTTTCAAAGGTTGAGAATGAAATGCATAATCACTGCTGCAGGCACCAGAGGTCAACCCTGGCTTTTGCCACCTATCTCTTGCCCTTGCCACCAGCCTACTCCTATGGCCCTGCCCTGCCATCACCCTACTCTTATGCCCTGAAGCCATGTCTCCAACCTGATTCCTCACTGCTAACTACTGTTAAGTGCAAGGGATAGTCTTCTAGATTTTTTATACATGTTAACTTACAATTTTATTTATGACATAGGATCTTATCAATGCACTATTCTGCAACACACTTTTTCCACCTAACCCTTTATCATTCACATCTTTCCATGTCAGTACATACAGATCTACCACGTTTATTAAAACTGCTGCACATTACTTCATTTTCGGGATACACCATAATTTATTTAACCAGTCATATACAGACTGACTTCTGTTTTATGGTTTTTTTCCCTCAAAATTTTTGCTAGTGAAACAATCCTTGAATATGATGTTTCTGTGCACTTTCCATATTTGCAGAATTTCTACCTGTTGAGCGGCTAAGTAAATTATTTCCAAGTTGCCATCCAAAAAATTGTGCTAATTTTCACTTCTACTAACACTAATTCATTTGTTCCCATACAATACTATTTTCAATCTTTTTCATCTTTGTTAATCAGACAGGCAACAAACAAACAAAACAAAACCCTCCTGATTGTTTTAATCTGCAGTTTGAAATCGGTAAGATGACCATCTTTCTCTGGGAATATTGGCCACTTGCATTTCTGATCTTGCGTACTCTGTTCATTTTTCTGTTGGACTTAATATTTCTCTAACTAATCATTCAACAAATACTTTCTTAAATATAACTGTCTTTAGACTCAGCTTCTGGTAGCTTTTTTTGGGTTGGTTTGGTGGAATTTTGCAGGCCATACAGAAGGTGTTAAGTTTTACAGTCAAGAGTATTAATCTTTTCCTTTCTGGCTTCTGGATTGCATGACATATTTACAAGAGTTTTGCCATGCTAAGATTATAAAAACATCCACAACGCTTTTTTTCCAGGGCTTCTGTCGATATCATTTTTTTAAATTTAAATTTTGGTCCATTTGGAACTTACTTGGGTACTCAAAATGACCTTTACTATTGTTTTTAAATATGTTTTTTACATAACTAGAAGTTGCCCAACACCAATCCATCTTTCCAATGCTGATTTGAAATACCACCTTGACTGCATAATCCCTTTAAGTATTTGGATTTTATTCTGAATTCTACTATATTCTATCTGCATGTAAATTCCTGCTCAGTTCCATACTATTTCAATTGCTATAGCTTTATAATATGTTATAGTATCTGGTGGTGCTGGAGAGCTAATCCCATTTACTCCCCTTAATTTTTAGGATTTCTCTGGCTAGTCTCACATATTTATTCTCCCAGTTGAACTCTAAAATCATTTGTCAGGTTAAAACAAAACAAAACACGATCCCACCACAGCTATTTTCTCATGTGCCAGTTCATCCATGTGCACACTTGTTTTAATTGTGTACCTACAATACTGTATTCAGCTTTCTCCAGTTTCCCACAAGAAAAGTCTTCAAGGTTAGGTTAGTGGTTGCATGGTCATGCCACAATGAACTCAAACCACAGCTTTCATGGGCATCTTTTCAATTTTTTGCCATCATTGACAACTACTGGAATTGACGCATATCTGCTTTAGCCATTATTTTTGCCGTAAGACAGATTCCTAAGAGCAGTATTCCTAGGAAAAGGGGACGAGACTAAGATGTTACGATTCCTCGTCCAGTGTTCTTTCAGACTCAGCAAGACAACTAAAAATCCGTCCAGCCGGAGGGGACGGAGATTGGAGCCCAGTCTGCCTATATCCGCGTCCCCCGGTTACACCGGCGGGCCTCGATTTTCCATGACGGGACCAGACGCTCCGAGGACAGTCCGGAGAGGCTCTAGCCGGTTCTCAGGCTGCCCCAACATCCCGGCCAGCCCATCACAGTCCGAGCCCTTCTCACCTGTGGCCCAGTGATCACCATCTTCACCTGCCGCCGCCGAGCATCCTGCGACCTGGTATCCAAGGCCGCTTAGCAACCGCGGAGGCTAAGCGGCGCGCTTTGCGGGCGTGAACCTAGCCGTGGGCGTTCCTCCGGCGCGATGTGATGACGAAAGAACGGAAGATGCCAGTCCGCCTGGAGCGCCAGGGGGTGGTGGATGGGAGCGAGACAAATGTGGGACCGTACCATTATATTGACGAGGGATAAACCCAGACAGAACGTGGACTAACTATAGGAGAAACATAAATCCATTCCATCTTGCCCTTTAATATCAACTATTATTAAAGACTGGTAAGAATAGTAGGTCCCTGCGGCCCAAACTTCGCGACACCTGAAGGAGGAGCATTGTGAAGTGTCCCGGCTGGGAACGGCCCTCGGCCAAGAGCGCAGGCCAGAGCGGCGCGGACGAGGGCCTCTTTGCTGCGAGCCTGGGGCTGGGTAGGGTTTTTGGGAGCGCGGCGCTAGGGGCTCGATGCGTGACTTGGGGGTGTTTCGACACTCCGGGAGGCGAGGGAAGACTTCGCGGAGGAGGGTGGGCAGGTTTAGTGGTAAGGATGGTAGCTCCAGATTGTTTCTTCTCTGATTAGCCCCGTCATCTGTGAGTGGCACAGTGCCAGGTCCAGATAGGGCGGTGAACCCGCCTTCTGGCGCCCCCAGGCGGGGAGTTCGCCCTCTGCCGGATCCTACCAAAAATTGAAACTGTATTAAGGGAGCTGTGAGGGGCCGGAGCTGGGCTGAAAGGCGCCACTTTTCAGAGATAGAGTGGTACTCTTTAAGGCAAGAATAGGGAAAGAGGAACTGCTTATGAGAAAGAGCCATCGCCACATCCGGGTTGCCGCGCCATCTCCATGGAAATGAGAGGCGCCGTAAGCACAAACAGGCCACCTCCGCAGGGGAGCGGCCCGTGCCTGGCCCGAGTGTGTGGACGTGGTGCAGTGCTGCCCTCTGGCGGGCTCAAACCGATGAGAGTGGAGACATCCGACAGTTCGGGTTTACATTTATATTTGTTTGGTACACTCTTCAATAGATAAGAGTAGTAGGAGTTTTAGGATCTTAAAACACACAGCTTATGTTGCCTTTTCTTTACTGCCGCTGAAAAGGAGATGAGGATGATTGGGAATTCTCTTCTGGGAGATGGCTGTATTTTGGTGTAAAGTTGGGTGAACACAGTTTGCAGTTAGGATTAAAAGTGGAAGTCATGTATTCCCACTGGGGAGACAGTAGGCAGTGCCACTGGAGGGTTGGCACAGATCTTGGGATCCTTTTGCCTGCTGTACAGTCTGCATTTGCTAGAAGACCAGGAGTTCCTGCCCAGAGCACTTCTCCCACTGTTGCAAGCTGTAGACAGCAAAGGGTTTTAAATCAGCAGCCACCAAGTTCAGTTCCGGGATGTGCCTTGTAGCTGGCCTTGGGCAAATGGCTTAATCAGATTGAATGTTTCTTATCTGTGAAGTGTGGTTAATAATTTCTAAATGCTGGTTTATTGTGAGGATTGTAGATAATGAGGTAAAGCTCAGAATGTGCTCATTAAACATAAGTGTAGCCTGATCAATGTTTTTCTTCCATTTTATTTTCTACCTTGGTGAGAATTTTGTGATTTTTAGTCAGAGTACATAGAACCCACTGTGTGTTTTCACAACCCATAGTGGATTGTGTAGTTCTGACAGTACTATCACACGTATGATAATTACACTCTACTGTTTGCTTTGGGAAGTTGGAATTTTGGCCTCTCCCTCATCATTTTCCACATTTGTCAATTAACAGACGCTGTAAAGATAAAATCGAAATCAGTATTTCAGCATTCTCAGCAGATGTCAAAGGGTAATAATAGCTCTTCCTGACCCAGCTTTTTTCTCCACTAGGTGTCAGTGTCGTTGGTGTGTTTTCCATGGTCTTCCAGCTTCATTCCCCATAATTGTTGGGGCAGGGGGCTGGGTAAACAAAAGTGGAAGGGAAAGAATGGGATTGAGTTAAAGGAAAAGGCAATAACCAGCACACACCGATGTTAGGAAAATTCTCCCCTTATCCACAAACCCAAAAGCTAACAAGACCACCCACCCTCAAGTAATTGATGAACCACAGGTTTGTGAGAAAGAGACCACTTTCCCACTGAAATAAGGCAGCATGATCCACCACCCTACAAGTGTAGGGTGTCCTGGGTGTTCTTCACGAGCTGCTATGTGCTCATGTTCTACCCAGTTAGATTACCTTTAGAAATGACTAATCTTGAACACATGGAGCTCTGTAAGTAGCTGGAAGCTCTGGTCACCAAGCCTGCACCTCCTCCAGCCCTGTCCAAGGCCTGGGGTACCCCTGGTCTCAGACCTGCCAGACACACAGGGTCATGTGTGTTCATATACCTACAGGAGCACAGCAGGAACTTGGCAGCCAGGCTTAAACCATGAGCATCCAGTTGAATGTCTTCTCTTTAAGACCCCATTTCCCACCAGCTAGCTTGTTGCAGCCAATTCCTGACTTGGCTCTCATTAAGGATTGTGACAGCCAATCTGCTTGGACCTGACAGCCAGAGTGAGGGACAGACCAGCACAGAGGTTCCATGTGAGAGTCGTTGGGTGCACGTATATGGCTCCAAGTCCCAGCTCTGGCCCTTATTAGCTACATGACCTTCAGGAAAGGAACAACGTCTCTGACCCTGTTTCTTCACTGGTAAAAAAGGGATAGGAATAGTTTCCACCTTAGGGTTTTTGGATGAAAACTGGCAGTAGACTTGAAAGTCTACCACAGAATTGGTTCCTCATAGGCAGATAGATGTTCTGAAGCTGACTTTGGCCAATTACACAAAAAAGGAGTGTGTTAAACAGATCGGAAGCACTCAAAATAATCAGAAAAGCTAGAGGAGGAGGCTCAAGCCTTCCCAGGAATGACAGGAACGACACCACAGCACTGATCTGATGGAGAATATGCCGCCACTGCTGCTGCTACTGAGTACCAATTGCTACAGTTTGTACTGTGGCCACTTCTACACCTGGAACTCAAGGTTTTATGGGCACTACCACAGCCGCCACATGACAGCACCAGTCCCTTCCTTGAGTCCAAACCTGGCCCAGGTGCATCCCTGAGCCACTTGCTTGGCCCTCGCTGCAGAGAAGGCTGCAGAGTCAGTACCTAGCATTTTCAGCTACTGTAAGTGGAAGTAGTTATTACCCTTTACCAAGGCTCATGAAGTAGGAGATTCCCTGAATACAGGAGGGGGTTCAGATGCCAGAGAAACAAACCTACTTAACAAGTGTCTAATACCACCCACAACAAAGAAAGATATAGAAAAATAGGAGGATGTTGGGTAATACCCTATGGGCTTCTTATGTCTCTGTCATTTTACACATTGAGATCAAAACCCAAACACCAAGAGGCCCTCTGATAAGAGGTGCTGATTGCCTGTCCACTATTTTCCCCTTCTCCCTTAGTGTCAGAATCCTATTATTAGGGGTACTGATGTGCCCAGATAATAAGCCACATATCTCAGCTTCTACCACAGGTAGGAGTAAATGGCCAATTAGCAGAAGTCATTGGGTGCGGCTTCTTGGAAAGCTCCATAAAGGTACATTTGTCCCCTCCCTCCTTATTTCCTGCCCATAACACAGAAGCAGTGGCCAGAGCTCCAGCAACCATCTTGTGATATGTGTAGTAATCCTAATACTGGAAGCCATTCGCCAAGAATGGCAGAGTAGAAAACAGAAATCCTGAATATCTGATAACCTGTCACATCAGCCCTGGATCACCTAACACCACTCTTCTTTTATATGCTGTAAAAATGTATGTAATCTTATTCAAGCCATTGTTCCTTTGAGACTCCAAATAACAAGTGACAAGCCATTGTTACTTTGATACTAGCACTGAAGGTAATTCCTTACAGATACCAGTTGTCTTCGCATGTTTCACAGATGCTTCTCTAGCAATCCAAGATGGCATCATCGTCTGGTGCATAGGAAAATCCCAGGAATGCACTTGAGGCCCCAGAGCTGCTGGCCACAGTGTCAGGAGTGCAGCCAATGGACTTCGACACAGCTTCCTGGGTGAACTCTGGGTCAAAGTGTTTCAAGTCAGCAGGTCCTGCCTGTGAATATAATAAGCCAATGAATGATGAGAAGGGAACAATGAGGTCAGAGCTGTCAAAGGAACCCAGAAGCCCTGACAGGGATGTTAGGCCTCTCCTCTGAGTGCCTCGTGGACACCCATCTCTAGTAACAGTCACTTACCCATGCATTTACATTAGTCATTTTACTCCACATGATCCACTAACCACCTTTCAATTCCTCTAACCCTCTGGCACCCTGCCTGCTCCACACCACCACACCAACTCTTGGAGAAGTCCAGTCAATATATACTTACTGGAGGCCTAGCAGGCACTGTTCAGGACACTGAGAATACAAGAGAACAAAATAGAATTGGCGCCTGCTTTCATGGAGCTTATATGATTCAGGGGGTAGGAGGACTGATAATAAGCATGGACACAAATAAATAGACTTGTTTATTTGTGACAGGGCTGTTTGAGCTGTTTTGGAGGAAGAGCTGTGGGGGAAATTGTAAAACTGGTCACACATTCTCTATTTCCTCTCCAAAGGTGGAGTCTATTTCTCTACCCCTTAATGCGGGTTAGCCACATGACTTGCTTAGACCACTGGGACATTACCAAATGTGACGCAAGTAGAGGCTTGAGAAATGCACATTGGGAGTTCTTTCTCACTGTACTTGGAAGACTGAGCCACTGTGTGAACCAGCCCAGGTTAGTCTGCTGTACAAAGGAGAACTCAGCTGCCCAGCTGCCAGGCAACTGCCAGGCATGTGGGTAAGGCAATTCTAGATCATCAACTGCCAGCTGACCACTGATACGAGAGAGCCATGCACAGACCAGCTGGCCTGGCCCAGGCTAAAAAAAAAAAACAATTACTTCGAAGTCTTTTCTGCATGGATTTAAAGCCATTGTTGGTGGTAAATACTTCCTTTTTGTATGCATTGAAAAGAATGGTGCTCTGAAGCTCCTTCTCCATGGTTACCTTTTGGAAAAAAGATAGAAGAGGAAAAAGGGAAACAATAAATAATATTCCAGAAAGAATAAGTGGTTTATTTCTTATCAAGAAAGGGCATACAGCTGCAACTTAGCTATGACATCCTTTCTATTTTCAAAGGTTGAGAATGAAATGCATAATCACTGCTGCAGGCACCAGAGGTCAACCCTGGCTTTTGCCACCTATCTCTTGCCCTTGCCACCAGCCTACTCCTATGGCCCTGCCCTGCCATCACCCTACTCTTATGCCCTGAAGCCATGTCTCCAACCTGATTCCTCACTGCTAACTACTGTTAAGTGCAAGGGATAGTCTTCTAGATTTTTTATACATGTTAACTTACAATTTTATTTATGACATAGGATCTTATCAATGCACTATTCTGCAACACACTTTTTCCACCTAACCCTTTATCATTCACATCTTTCCATGTCAGTACATACAGATCTACCACGTTTATTAAAACTGCTGCACATTACTTCATTTTCGGGATACACCATAATTTATTTAACCAGTCATATACAGACTGACTTCTGTTTTATGGTTTTTTTCCCTCAAAATTTTTGCTAGTGAAACAATCCTTGAATATGATGTTTCTGTGCACTTTCCATATTTGCAGAATTTCTACCTGTTGAGCGGCTAAGTAAATTATTTCCAAGTTGCCATCCAAAAAATTGTGCTAATTTTCACTTCTACTAACACTAATTCATTTGTTCCCATACAATACTATTTTCAATCTTTTTCATCTTTGTTAATCAGACAGGCAACAAACAAACAAAACAAAACCCTCCTGATTGTTTTAATCTGCAGTTTGAAATCGGTAAGATGACCATCTTTCTCTGGGAATATTGGCCACTTGCATTTCTGATCTTGCGTACTCTGTTCATTTTTCTGTTGGACTTAATATTTCTCTAACTAATCATTCAACAAATACTTTCTTAAATATAACTGTCTTTAGACTCAGCTTCTGGTAGCTTTTTTTGGGTTGGTTTGGTGGAATTTTGCAGGCCATACAGAAGGTGTTAAGTTTTACAGTCAAGAGTATTAATCTTTTCCTTTCTGGCTTCTGGATTGCATGACATATTTACAAGAGTTTTGCCATGCTAAGATTATAAAAACATCCACAACGCTTTTTTTCCAGGGCTTCTGTCGATATCATTTTTTTAAATTTAAATTTTGGTCCATTTGGAACTTACTTGGGTACTCAAAATGACCTTTACTATTGTTTTTAAATATGTTTTTTACATAACTAGAAGTTGCCCAACACCAATCCATCTTTCCAATGCTGATTTGAAATACCACCTTGACTGCATAATCCCTTTAAGTATTTGGATTTTATTCTGAATTCTACTATATTCTATCTGCATGTAAATTCCTGCTCAGTTCCATACTATTTCAATTGCTATAGCTTTATAATATGTTATAGTATCTGGTGGTGCTGGAGAGCTAATCCCATTTACTCCCCTTAATTTTTAGGATTTCTCTGGCTAGTCTCACATATTTATTCTCCCAGTTGAACTCTAAAATCATTTGTCAGGTTAAAACAAAACAAAACACGATCCCACCACAGCTATTTTCTCATGTGCCAGTTCATCCATGTGCACACTTGTTTTAATTGTGTACCTACAATACTGTATTCAGCTTTCTCCAGTTTCCCACAAGAAAAGTCTTCAAGGTTAGGTTAGTGGTTGCATGGTCATGCCACAATGAACTCAAACCACAGCTTTCATGGGCATCTTTTCAATTTTTTGCCATCATTGACAACTACTGGAATTGACGCATATCTGCTTTAGCCATTATTTTTGCCGTAAGACAGATTCCTAAGAGCAGTATTCCTAGGAAAAGGGGACGAGACTAAGATGTTACGATTCCTCGTCCAGTGTTCTTTCAGACTCAGCAAGACAACTAAAAATCCGTCCAGCCGGAGGGGACGGAGATTGGAGCCCAGTCTGCCTATATCCGCGTCCCCCGGTTACACCGGCGGGCCTCGATTTTCCATGACGGGACCAGACGCTCCGAGGACAGTCCGGAGAGGCTCTAGCCGGTTCTCAGGCTGCCCCAACATCCCGGCCAGCCCATCACAGTCCGAGCCCTTCTCACCTGTGGCCCAGTGATCACCATCTTCACCTGCCGCCGCCGAGCATCCTGCGACCTGGTATCCAAGGCCGCTTAGCAACCGCGGAGGCTAAGCGGCGCGCTTTGCGGGCGTGAACCTAGCCGTGGGCGTTCCTCCGGCGCGATGTGATGACGAAAGAACGGAAGATGCCAGTCCGCCTGGAGCGCCAGGGGGTGGTGGATGGGAGCGAGACAAATGTGGGACCGTACCATTATATTGACGAGGGATAAACCCAGACAGAACGTGGACTAACTATAGGAGAAACATAAATCCATTCCATCTTGCCCTTTAATATCAACTATTATTAAAGACTGGTAAGAATAGTAGGTCCCTGCGGCCCAAACTTCGCGACACCTGAAGGAGGAGCATTGTGAAGTGTCCCGGCTGGGAACGGCCCTCGGCCAAGAGCGCAGGCCAGAGCGGCGCGGACGAGGGCCTCTTTGCTGCGAGCCTGGGGCTGGGTAGGGTTTTTGGGAGCGCGGCGCTAGGGGCTCGATGCGTGACTTGGGGGTGTTTCGACACTCCGGGAGGCGAGGGAAGACTTCGCGGAGGAGGGTGGGCAGGTTTAGTGGTAAGGATGGTAGCTCCAGATTGTTTCTTCTCTGATTAGCCCCGTCATCTGTGAGTGGCACAGTGCCAGGTCCAGATAGGGCGGTGAACCCGCCTTCTGGCGCCCCCAGGCGGGGAGTTCGCCCTCTGCCGGATCCTACCAAAAATTGAAACTGTATTAAGGGAGCTGTGAGGGGCCGGAGCTGGGCTGAAAGGCGCCACTTTTCAGAGATAGAGTGGTACTCTTTAAGGCAAGAATAGGGAAAGAGGAACTGCTTATGAGAAAGAGCCATCGCCACATCCGGGTTGCCGCGCCATCTCCATGGAAATGAGAGGCGCCGTAAGCACAAACAGGCCACCTCCGCAGGGGAGCGGCCCGTGCCTGGCCCGAGTGTGTGGACGTGGTGCAGTGCTGCCCTCTGGCGGGCTCAAACCGATGAGAGTGGAGACATCCGACAGTTCGGGTTTACATTTATATTTGTTTGGTACACTCTTCAATAGATAAGAGTAGTAGGAGTTTTAGGATCTTAAAACACACAGCTTATGTTGCCTTTTCTTTACTGCCGCTGAAAAGGAGATGAGGATGATTGGGAATTCTCTTCTGGGAGATGGCTGTATTTTGGTGTAAAGTTGGGTGAACACAGTTTGCAGTTAGGATTAAAAGTGGAAGTCATGTATTCCCACTGGGGAGACAGTAGGCAGTGCCACTGGAGGGTTGGCACAGATCTTGGGATCCTTTTGCCTGCTGTACAGTCTGCATTTGCTAGAAGACCAGGAGTTCCTGCCCAGAGCACTTCTCCCACTGTTGCAAGCTGTAGACAGCAAAGGGTTTTAAATCAGCAGCCACCAAGTTCAGTTCCGGGATGTGCCTTGTAGCTGGCCTTGGGCAAATGGCTTAATCAGATTGAATGTTTCTTATCTGTGAAGTGTGGTTAATAATTTCTAAATGCTGGTTTATTGTGAGGATTGTAGATAATGAGGTAAAGCTCAGAATGTGCTCATTAAACATAAGTGTAGCCTGATCAATGTTTTTCTTCCATTTTATTTTCTACCTTGGTGAGAATTTTGTGATTTTTAGTCAGAGTACATAGAACCCACTGTGTGTTTTCACAACCCATAGTGGATTGTGTAGTTCTGACAGTACTATCACACGTATGATAATTACACTCTACTGTTTGCTTTGGGAAGTTGGAATTTTGGCCTCTCCCTCATCATTTTCCACATTTGTCAATTAACAGACGCTGTAAAGATAAAATCGAAATCAGTATTTCAGCATTCTCAGCAGATGTCAAAGGGTAATAATAGCTCTTCCTGACCCAGCTTTTTTCTCCACTAGGTGTCAGTGTCGTTGGTGTGTTTTCCATGGTCTTCCAGCTTCATTCCCCATAATTGTTGGGGCAGGGGGCTGGGTAAACAAAAGTGGAAGGGAAAGAATGGGATTGAGTTAAAGGAAAAGGCAATAACCAGCACACACCGATGTTAGGAAAATTCTCCCCTTATCCACAAACCCAAAAGCTAACAAGACCACCCACCCTCAAGTAATTGATGAACCACAGGTTTGTGAGAAAGAGACCACTTTCCCACTGAAATAAGGCAGCATGATCCACCACCCTACAAGTGTAGGGTGTCCTGGGTGTTCTTCACGAGCTGCTATGTGCTCATGTTCTACCCAGTTAGATTACCTTTAGAAATGACTAATCTTGAACACATGGAGCTCTGTAAGTAGCTGGAAGCTCTGGTCACCAAGCCTGCACCTCCTCCAGCCCTGTCCAAGGCCTGGGGTACCCCTGGTCTCAGACCTGCCAGACACACAGGGTCATGTGTGTTCATATACCTACAGGAGCACAGCAGGAACTTGGCAGCCAGGCTTAAACCATGAGCATCCAGTTGAATGTCTTCTCTTTAAGACCCCATTTCCCACCAGCTAGCTTGTTGCAGCCAATTCCTGACTTGGCTCTCATTAAGGATTGTGACAGCCAATCTGCTTGGACCTGACAGCCAGAGTGAGGGACAGACCAGCACAGAGGTTCCATGTGAGAGTCGTTGGGTGCACGTATATGGCTCCAAGTCCCAGCTCTGGCCCTTATTAGCTACATGACCTTCAGGAAAGGAACAACGTCTCTGACCCTGTTTCTTCACTGGTAAAAAAGGGATAGGAATAGTTTCCACCTTAGGGTTTTTGGATGAAAACTGGCAGTAGACTTGAAAGTCTACCACAGAATTGGTTCCTCATAGGCAGATAGATGTTCTGAAGCTGACTTTGGCCAATTACACAAAAAAGGAGTGTGTTAAACAGATCGGAAGCACTCAAAATAATCAGAAAAGCTAGAGGAGGAGGCTCAAGCCTTCCCAGGAATGACAGGAACGACACCACAGCACTGATCTGATGGAGAATATGCCGCCACTGCTGCTGCTACTGAGTACCAATTGCTACAGTTTGTACTGTGGCCACTTCTACACCTGGAACTCAAGGTTTTATGGGCACTACCACAGCCGCCACATGACAGCACCAGTCCCTTCCTTGAGTCCAAACCTGGCCCAGGTGCATCCCTGAGCCACTTGCTTGGCCCTCGCTGCAGAGAAGGCTGCAGAGTCAGTACCTAGCATTTTCAGCTACTGTAAGTGGAAGTAGTTATTACCCTTTACCAAGGCTCATGAAGTAGGAGATTCCCTGAATACAGGAGGGGGTTCAGATGCCAGAGAAACAAACCTACTTAACAAGTGTCTAATACCACCCACAACAAAGAAAGATATAGAAAAATAGGAGGATGTTGGGTAATACCCTATGGGCTTCTTATGTCTCTGTCATTTTACACATTGAGATCAAAACCCAAACACCAAGAGGCCCTCTGATAAGAGGTGCTGATTGCCTGTCCACTATTTTCCCCTTCTCCCTTAGTGTCAGAATCCTATTATTAGGGGTACTGATGTGCCCAGATAATAAGCCACATATCTCAGCTTCTACCACAGGTAGGAGTAAATGGCCAATTAGCAGAAGTCATTGGGTGCGGCTTCTTGGAAAGCTCCATAAAGGTACATTTGTCCCCTCCCTCCTTATTTCCTGCCCATAACACAGAAGCAGTGGCCAGAGCTCCAGCAACCATCTTGTGATATGTGTAGTAATCCTAATACTGGAAGCCATTCGCCAAGAATGGCAGAGTAGAAAACAGAAATCCTGAATATCTGATAACCTGTCACATCAGCCCTGGATCACCTAACACCACTCTTCTTTTATATGCTGTAAAAATGTATGTAATCTTATTCAAGCCATTGTTCCTTTGAGACTCCAAATAACAAGTGACAAGCCATTGTTACTTTGATACTAGCACTGAAGGTAATTCCTTACAGATACCAGTTGTCTTCGCATGTTTCACAGATGCTTCTCTAGCAATCCAAGATGGCATCATCGTCTGGTGCATAGGAAAATCCCAGGAATGCACTTGAGGCCCCAGAGCTGCTGGCCACAGTGTCAGGAGTGCAGCCAATGGACTTCGACACAGCTTCCTGGGTGAACTCTGGGTCAAAGTGTTTCAAGTCAGCAGGTCCTGCCTGTGAATATAATAAGCCAATGAATGATGAGAAGGGAACAATGAGGTCAGAGCTGTCAAAGGAACCCAGAAGCCCTGACAGGGATGTTAGGCCTCTCCTCTGAGTGCCTCGTGGACACCCATCTCTAGTAACAGTCACTTACCCATGCATTTACATTAGTCATTTTACTCCACATGATCCACTAACCACCTTTCAATTCCTCTAACCCTCTGGCACCCTGCCTGCTCCACACCACCACACCAACTCTTGGAGAAGTCCAGTCAATATATACTTACTGGAGGCCTAGCAGGCACTGTTCAGGACACTGAGAATACAAGAGAACAAAATAGAATTGGCGCCTGCTTTCATGGAGCTTATATGATTCAGGGGGTAGGAGGACTGATAATAAGCATGGACACAAATAAATAGACTTGTTTATTTGTGACAGGGCTGTTTGAGCTGTTTTGGAGGAAGAGCTGTGGGGGAAATTGTAAAACTGGTCACACATTCTCTATTTCCTCTCCAAAGGTGGAGTCTATTTCTCTACCCCTTAATGCGGGTTAGCCACATGACTTGCTTAGACCACTGGGACATTACCAAATGTGACGCAAGTAGAGGCTTGAGAAATGCACATTGGGAGTTCTTTCTCACTGTACTTGGAAGACTGAGCCACTGTGTGAACCAGCCCAGGTTAGTCTGCTGTACAAAGGAGAACTCAGCTGCCCAGCTGCCAGGCAACTGCCAGGCATGTGGGTAAGGCAATTCTAGATCATCAACTGCCAGCTGACCACTGATACGAGAGAGCCATGCACAGACCAGCTGGCCTGGCCCAGGCTAAAAAAAAAAAACCCACCCAACTGACCCATAGAATCATAATGAAGTCAAAAATCCTAGTTTCTGGGTGGCAAGAGCTAACTGATACAACCTCTTTGTGGAGGAGGCACAGTCAGGAGAGGACTAGACCACCTGGGGTCTCTGAAGTAAGCAGGTGAGCAGGTAGAAGGGTCTGCAGATCTCCTTTCGGTGGTAAGCCTTAGGCTGTACAACCAATCAGCTTGGATGCCAGCTTCTCAAAAAGACTGCAGGGCACAGGGATTCAGAGTTCCAAGACGAGAATATGCATCCTGGCCCTGGCCCTTGTTAGCTGTTGGATCTAGACAAGGTAGGTATTTTCTGTTTTTTATAAATGAAGATATTAATTCTAAAGAACCTTATTCAAGGTTTCACAAGTGGAGGTGGCAGAACCAGGCATCCCCCACCAGGAGGTCTTAAAGTCCATGCATTGCATTCTGTTACCTCCCTGACTAGTATTTTTTATTATTCTGTCATCAGGGTATATGTTCAATATCATCCTCAGGCTCTTTTTTAAATCCCCAGATAAACTTTTCAGATACCTGGACCGAATGTATCCTATCTAACAACTGTTGTCAAGAAGCTGGTGCTCAAAGATATGTTCATGAACAGGTAATTTACCAAAGAAAAGATATAAATAGTGAGTTCACTCTGGCAGTGTTGAGGTGTGCAGGCTACTTGGATGGAAGGGGCTTGATACTGCAGGTGGCCAAGAGAACCTTCAGTGTCCCCCTGCAATGGGGCTCCTCTCATTCATGCTACCACTGCTAATTAACATTTTAAAACTAACCACCTTTACTGTAAGTCAAAGAAACATAGATGAAAACAATACAAGATGCCTTTTTACACTTAATAAATTTGCAAAGTAAACAGTAACAACTGCACATGCTGCAGAAATAAGATGCAAATTCCCCAGCAGACACTGCTGGTAGTAAGTAGATTGTCCTCCCTAACACACAGTTATGGTGGTACGAATCAAGAACCTAAAAATGTTCACATTCTTTGAACTGGTTATTCTTAAAGAAATAATCTTAAAGAAATAATCAGAACTCTGGGCAAAGAAATAAAGTTTATGTTCATCAGTACATTATAATAAAGAAAAAAATGAAAATACCCTAATGCTCACCATTAGGAGCATGCTTGAGTAAACTGTATTACCAGCGTAGGGTTGAAATAATATGCAGCCACTTAAAATGATACTTAATATGACTTAGAGAAATAATGACATAGTTTTTAGCAAAAAAAAAAAAAAGTGGGGAGAGGATATTTCTCTATACGAAGTATGACCTATGTAAAAAACAGAAAAGGACTGGAATGGAACATGCCAACTGTGATTTCTCTTGGGTAGTGAGATAATAAGCTTTAAACCTCTTTGTTTCACACACTTTCTTCAGTGAATACATGCCATTTTTATTAACAGGAAAAAAGCTAAACATAGGGAAAAAATCTTTACAGGGCTCGGCTCTGCCAGGGTGTGCTTGCTATGTGACACAGCATTTTTAAAACTGTAAAGGGCTCTGCAATTGGTGCTAAAGATAAGGGAGTGTTGGCGGCAGGACCCATCACAGAGGAAGGAACTGGCAGTCAGGACTTCTAGATTATGGACCCAGTTCTGCCTCTAACTTACTGTGTGGCCTCAGACAAATCATTGAGCCTCTCAGACCCCCAGTTTTTCCAATCTGTAGAAAAAGAGTTGGCCCAGATACCCTCCAAGCTCCTACCAGCCCTGGGAATCCAGAATCTGGAATCTGGTGACCTCTTACCACGTTTGGGTTGAAGGGTGGAATCAGCCTCTTGTGGTACAAGTCATCCCAGTTTATGGGGCTGAAGAATACATGGCTCTTTATCTCAAGCTGCAGGAAGAAGGTGCTGATCAGAAGTAGCCCTCCCCATGGCACTCCTTCCCGACTCCCACATGGCCCGGAGCTCCAACTCTAATTGGCAACTGGCTGTCAAGCCCTAAGACCTTTACTGGGAAAGTAACTTGCACTTCCAGCTGGTTTCCTGGAATAATGGAGCATTCTTCAACCAGGCCTCGTCCTTCTCATCTAGAGTCCAAACCGTTCCCCATAGCATCTTTATTCCATAACTATTTACTAAGCACCTACTCTGTGCCAGCACCACGGGAGGCTTTGGAGGTATGGCAACGGACCCGACAGCAAAACCTGCCTTCAGGGTTCCCAGGCGATCTTGGGAAACCACCCTCCCCACTCTGCCTCAATACATTTTTATTCTTCCAGAATACAAACCAGAGAAATAGGCCAAACCAACTCACTAAGGAGGGTTTGGGAAGTACAGCCCCAAGAAAATACGCATGTTCCCAGAGATCCAGAATTTAGGAATCAGCCTTGGGTATGATTCACCACATCTTTCTTAATCCAAACCAGTGTGGGCACCAATTTCTTCCTGTCCCTGCAGACCCTCTCTCTGTGTTCTCAAGGAATGATTCTCCAGCTCCCTGTAGCAGAACCCCCCGTTTGTTAAAAAGCTAGATTAAAAAAAAAAAGCTAGACCCCAAATATCTCCAGAATACCCAAAAAACTGGCAACACTGGTTCCCTTTAAATTAAGGAACTGGGAGACTGGAGGGACATATCCCGAATATTTTTTGAATTCTGGTCTATGTGAATGTGTGTCTTATTTTTTAAATCATACATATTTTTTAAGATGCAAATTCCCACCTGGAAGGAGGGGACCCGTCTTCATGAAAGCTCTATTCTTTAAGCTGGTCAGGGATAGGCAGGGAAGTGCCCTAAATGTTACACTCATAGTATTTGGCATATAGAGCTGTTGGTACAAACACTTAAAAAGCACTTACTATCTGCCAGGCACTTGTCTAAGTGCTTTGCATGTATTAATTCATTTGATCTTCATAGGAGCTACAAGTTACAAGCTATTATTATAGATGGGGAAACTGAGGCTCACAGAGACAAGTTAAGCAATTTGTCCAAGGTCCTGTGACTAGTAAGTGGTGGAGGAGGGATCTGAACCCAGGTAGTCTGTCTCATAATCCAGGCATCTCAACTACTATACTAGAACAGAAAACAAACTTCTAGGGAGAAATGTCTTCCTTTTATAAATCCAAATTATCTTTTGTTGAGTAAAGAGTCGAACTTGTTAAGGGAATGGACTAACTCATCTCTATATGTGAATTACTCATCTTTATTCATCTATATTCATAGAGAGTGAATTATTTATCTCTATATACTGAGTGTTCAGCCTGGGCACTACAGGGACGAAGTGCTCAGGTATTTGTGAAGAGGATATCTAGTCCACTCTCTGTACAGAGGCCAGAGGAATTTCTTAAAATTTAAATTGGGTCTCACCACTCCCCTGCTCAAAATAACCTAGAGCTTACCCCTCTCCTCCTTGTTCCTGCCACAGGACTTTTGCACATGCTGTGCTGTGTCTGGGATGCTCATCCAACTCTCTGCATGACAGGACCCCTCTCCTCCTTCAAGTCTCAGCTTAATTGTCACCTGCTCAGAGAGGGCCCCCCTCCCATTATTGTCTATGTCAGCTCATTGTTCATTTCTTTCCTGATACTTGGCACACTCTGTAATAATTGTATAAAATGTTTGTTTGTTGTCTTCCCTCCCCAATAAACTTTAAAAGGGCAGAGGCCCAGTCTATTGAATCCCTAGCATCTAGTTCAATGCCTGGCATGCAGTAGGTGTTCAATAAATATTGTTTGTTGAGTGAAATAACTGGACTGAAAGAAGTAATCAAGCAGCAGCAGTTGTGAATTTCCAGATGAAGGAGCTAGCAGTGTCTGGTTTTGGGGGAGGCTGGATGCATATCTCTGTGCTTCTGAGCTGCTTCTGCAGGAAGCTGAGAGCCCCCATGAGGGGCCTGTGATCTGCTGTCAGGTCACCTACAAAGTCTGTTTTGGAGCCCAGCCGCTGTCTCTGGTCCTTGTGGAGAAGGCCTTGCAGAAGGTCGCAGGCGGCCACTGTCCGGCCCCCAGGGATCTGCAGTGGCTGGTGCAGAATATTCTCATACATCTGGGACACATCTTGGCTGTAGAAGGGTGGCTGGTGAGAGAGAAAGAGAGAGGCTGGAGAATCATTCATGCCAAAGTCGGCACAGGTCTCAGGGAGACTTGGAACGAAATTGGGTAGCTAGAAGGATTTAGCCAGACCTCTGTCTTGTGCAATGACTCACATGGCAGATTGGAGAGAGACAGACACCTCTGAGCTTCCAGCACAGTGGAGAAGGCTGCTGGAAAGGCTGAGAAGTCTCTCCCCACCTGTGTGAGGCTCCCAGGAACATCCCCTATACCTCTTCTCTTAATCCAGCTTGTGCACCAACTTTGCACTTTGTAAAGTTAACACTTTCCCCTTTGTCATTCCATCCCAGCCTCACAACCATCCTTTGGGATGGATCATAATTGTTCAGATGAGAAGACAAGGCTCAGAGAGAAGAAGCCACATGGCTGGGAAGACAGCGGGGCCTCAGCTTGTACCCAAAGCCCATTTCCTCCTGATGCTCTTCCCGCTCCTCTGCCAGCTCTTCCTTCTCTTGGCTCCACAGAGCCTGTTCTTGCATATCCACCAAACTATGTTGGTGACGCCACCTGGGTAAAGCCTACCCTGGGGTGAATCTACACATGACTCCATTGAAGCAGGAAGCCTAGGATTGGGTTACACAACCTACTAGCATGTGTCCTTGCTTGGCCTCAGTTTCCCTATCAGCAAAATAAAGACAACTCATTTCTTGCAGTTCCAGTCTCCAAAGACTATTTTAACATATCAAAGGAGTAACAAATGAGACTGTAAAGTGCTGAACTAACATTATCAAAAAATACAACCCTTGTATTCACTTTGGCATAAGCTTTTTAAATTTGGAATGGAGATATGGCTCATTCAGCTCCTTGAGAAGCCTGAGCAGGTCACATAAGGGAGACATCCACCCCATCTCCCCAGGGTCAGATACCCCTTGCAGACAGCGACACCCCACTCACCAGGCCTTGCAACATCTCGTAGAGAACTGCACCCAAGCACCACCAGTCCACTGCCCGATCATAAGGCTCTTTACGAAGCACTTCTGGAGCCAAGTACTGTTGAGGGTAAACACACTTATCTGAAAGGCACTCAACCTCTGTCTCCCCATTCGTAAACAAAGCACTTGTAGGAAAAGATCACCAGAGATGGAGCCTGCTCTGATATTCACATGGCTGTGCATATGTTCATTCAGCATCCATTCACTAAAGACCTGCTTTGTGCAAGGCCCTGTGCCAATGTGCTGGGGACATAGAAGAAATCAGGCAAGACTGCCCTGCACAGTTGTATATGTTGTTCACCACACAAAAGTACCAGTCAAAGGGGTAAAGTGGGCTGCTGTGATCAATTCACCAAGCCATAACCCTAGTAAAGGGCTATATATGGCAATTTTATTTGTATTTAAAGAAGTAATTTTTTCTAATTAGTCTGCCAGGAGAGGGTGACTTTACCTAATTTGCACAAAAGCATCCAATCAATGTCCTAGGAATAGGAAAGCCGTGGGAGTACTCAGTGCAGTGGGGAGACCAACAGGTAAAGTGCAAGTAAACGTGGCATGTAGTTGCACTGGAAACAGTAACAGAGAGATGCATGGGAGTCAGGAAAAAGGGGGTGACCCTTGAGTTCATATTGACAGATGAATGCATGCCGTGTATGAGTGCCTCGCACAAGGAGAAGACTTGAGGCAGGTCTTGCTTTCTGCTTTGGCTTGATGACCTCTTAACCAGGTGTCTCTACTAGTGAGGAAAGGGGTCTCAGTAACAGACAAAGCGACTTTGAGGGGCTCTGTGGGCCTGGGGAAGGGCAGGGAGTTACAGAGACCTGAGCCCTACATGGTCTGTCACAGGTAGGTCACTTATCTTCCCAGAACCTTCGTTTCCTCATCCATATAATGCGGTTGCAGAATCCTTCCCTGGGTGCTATTTTAAGGATATGTGCTCACGTATGTGTGATCTAATATTTGTGAGGCCGTTGAACAATTGGAGCAACTGTGGTTACGTTTGTCTGTGCTCTCTGGTACCATGGCAGTGGCTAAGACGTGGAAGACATGAGCTGTTGGGGAGACGTGTCTCCTATAAAAGCCAGGGTGCCATAAGCCCTGTTCTTTGCCCCTGGCAATGGTCAAGGAAGGGATGACTGGCCTGCCAGCCCTGCCATACACACACACAGACAATGGCTCCTGCTCAGACAGGTCATCTGTCCATCAGCTACCCTAAAACCAAACTGAGGAGTCCCAGCTGAAATCTGGGACCCAGATTTTCAAACATATGAGGAAAAATAGAGCAGCTAAAGTCCTGTCTCATGCTGGGTCAGAAGGAACTCCCCAGTCCTGCAGCCTCAGCGCCCTGCCTTCCACCCAGACATCTGTCCAAGCAACAGGGGATTCTTTCAGGTCCAAGGTCCAGGGGTCAACACTGGTGGAAATTCAAGGAAAGGGCAGGACAGACAGACATGTATGAATTATTGCTGAGGCACACAAATTTTAACATTCTAGGCTCCTAGCGGCAGGAAGAAGGAGGTACACCAGTGTCAGGCCCTCCTGTTGCACATGGATTTTACTGTGCACGGTGGTGCTGTCCAATACAACAGCCACTAGCCACATGTGGCTACCAAACACTTGAAATGTGGCTGATCTGAGCACAGGTGGACCATCAGTGTAAAATACACTCTGGATTTCAAAGACTTAGAAAAGAAGAATCAAACACCTCAACAATTTTACATTGATTGTATATTGAAATGACAATATTTTGTATATATTGGGTTAATTAAAATATATCACTGAAATTCATTTCACCTGTTTCTTTTTACATTTTAAATGTGGCTGCTGGAAAATTTTAATTTGTGTATACAGTTTGCATGTCTATTTCTATTTCTATTAGGCAGCAGTGCTATGGAGCTTTACCGGCAGCTGGTTGGGTTCCAGCAGCCCCTAGAGCTGGTGCCCCCCTTACACAGATGAGGAAACTGAGGCTTCATGCACAACCAGCTCAGGGGAAGTGCTTGGATGGAAGGAATGAGTCAGGAGCTGCAGCCTCAACCACTCCTGGCCTGACCTCTCCTAGGAGGTTTAGCTTACCTCCGGAGTGCCGCAGAACGTGGATGTGGTCTCCTCAGCTTCTACACCTTCCTTGCAGAGACCAAAATCCGTCAGCACCACGTGTCCCTGCAAAGAGGGAACGCAGGGTTGGGAGGGTGGTCTAAGCTAAAGGTATGGCCAGGGCTAAACCCAAAGCCCAGGTGCCACGCCACAGGGCAGGGCTGTGGGGTCTGATGCCCCTGGCACAGACTGGAGGCTCCAATCAGTGACCCAGGGTTTCTAGACTGGATGCCAGGAGCAGCTCAGGGGATAAAGTGGGAAAATGATACTCCCCTGTCTGCTCCCAGTCCACTGGACTCAAACCCATGCCCTACAACAATGGCAGCTCCAGAATGTCCCTGCTGGAGGCGCCTGGTGCAGCAGCTGGGCAACTGAGAGGGTGGCTGGTGGAGGTCATGGAATGAGTGGATACTGCGTGAGGTTCTCCCCAGATGCCATGCCCTTTAGGGGCTCTCATGCCCATCACCCCTGTGCTGCGACACTGCCTTCACCCAAAGTTACGCCCCTTCCCAAGGGGAAACCCGCACCCAATGACTGGTCAAGGCAGGAGCACAAACGCCCAGCCTCATTGCCCCAGTTTGCAACAGTTCTAAAGAGCCATCCCAGCTCAGGCCCTCCTCACCCCTATAAATGCTCAGCCAAGGTCTCACTTGCAACCATAATCCAGGCAAACTTCCTCCTCTGCCCAATTCTGCTTCCTCACCCCTAAAAGGTGGATTTCTTGAGAGAGTTCCCCCATAATCTTCTACACCAACACCCCATCTCAGAGTCTATTTCCAGGGAATCCAGTTTAAGACATGGAGGGACTAAAAAATCTACAAGCCTCCACCCAGCTCCATACCCCCCCCACCAGACCGTGCATATACACAAGGGTGCATATGTACACATGTACACATGGTCTCATGTACATAGAACGCACATTTACATGTGTGTCATATGCATAGGTACACATGCACACACATACCTGATGCATCCCTACCTGTATGCACACATGTGCAAGGCATGCACACACATGTACATACTTTCATGGGCCACAGCACATGTGTGCAGCTACACACACACACACACACACTAACCTGGCAGTCCAAGAGAATGTTTTCTGGTTTCAGGTCCCTGCAAAAAATGAGAGAAAGAGAGCTGTGATGTCTTAGCCACTTAGAGAGGACATTTGGGGGACCTGGGTCCTGTAGGAGGACTGTACATGGAGGCTCACAGAGGTGTAGAGGGAGAGCCCAAGGAGAGTGGGCACTTGGTCCTAGCAAGGAAGAGGTTCCTGCCCTACCCCTGCTGCTGGGCCCGCCCCCTCAGACAAAGGACCAAGTGCACTGGCATTTCATTACACAACTGCAGGCAGGCCTCACCTGTAAATTATATTGAGGGAGTGCAGGTAGCCAATGGCGCTGGCCACCTCAGCGGCGTAGAACCGGGCCCGGGGCTCCAGGAACCGGTGCTCCCGCTGCAGGTGGAAGAAGAGCTGGAGGGGAAGGAGGCATGTGAGTGGGTTTCCAGGGGGCTCCAGCTCCTGGAGTGCTGGTCGGGAGACAGCTGGCCACGTCATCCCTCTGAGCTGCAATGCACTCAGATGACAAAGGCATGCTGGCCCCCACCCGACTGAGCAGTTGCCAGTGTCCAAAGGGTCAGCAGGAAGATTAATTAGCGTGGACTGAGCACCTATGGTGTTCCAGGCTACAAGCCAGACCCTTTCACCCTCTTATCTCATTTAACCCTCATGATTACCTTCAAGGTATCAAATATGGTACCAGTTTCATGTAAGAGGGAACTGGGAGTGGTCAGAGCAGTCAAGTGACTTGCCCAAGGTCATATAGGTCATACTTGGCAGAGCTGTGATTTGATGTGTTTTTCTTCCAGGCGATAAGATTGTGGCTGTCAAACTGAGCCCAGGTTAGACTTGCTCATAGGCCAATGGCTTTGGTCTATTTTGCTGGCCTGGAGAGCCCTTTACTTCCACCAGGAGACTTAGGGATGAAGGACAAAAATTCCCCTCTTAGGATCAGGCATGAGGTCACACAGAATGTCTGGGGTCACTGAGGGGGTCCCACTAAATTTTACCATATTTCCCAGAGAGACACAGCGAAGTCCAGGAGGGATCCCAGCTTATTCCAGCTGTGCATCTGGGTCACTGGGGCCTCAGGCCTCTATTTACCACGGTGACCTATGACTCCCACCCAGTGAGGTAAAATGGGGGTATTAAAATCTCAACCACAGAGACCCTCTAACACTGACCTTTCCCAGCTCCGCTGAAGTGCATCTGGGCAGCTTTGTGTGGGGAAGTCAAGAAATGATTATGGCTGGGAGTCAGACCTGCATTCAGATCCTAGCTCTGCCAGGTCTGGATTGTGTGGCCTTGAGCAGGTGAGTTATCTCCGGGGCCTTGGTTTCTTCAGCTACAAAATGGGTCTGTGGTAAGGATGAGGTGAGATGATTCCAGAACCTGGAACACCCTGTGCACTCGGGATGGATAGCACTCAGTTAAGAGCCTGCCCTGGGCACCTCCCTGGGGACACCCCATCTCCCTACCTCTCCCCCGTTGACATAGTCCAGCACAAAGTAGAGCTTTTCGGGCGTCTGGAAGGAGTAGCGCAGGCCCACAAGGAAGGGGTGCCTCACGTTCTTCAGGAGCACGCTGCGCTCTGCCATGATGTGGCTCTGCTGTGGAGTCATACAGACAGGAACCCACGTCACAACCTGCCACAGCCCCTTTTACCTTGGCACAGCCCCCATGTCCTGGCTGGTGGGGTTGAGCTGCCCAGGACCTTCTCATGCCCCTGCTCAACCCATTGTGGCTCCTTATTGCCCTCAGAGGCAGGCCCAGGTTCCTTGCCTAGTGGTCAGGACTCTGCATGGTCAGCCTCATCCCCAGCCAATCCATGTGGGTGCAGCTCCAGCCCCTGGACCAGAATCCCCTGCCCTCCCCCAGCAGGGGATAAGCAAAGCATATATGATTCCTGCATAAATGAGTCAACAGTCATGCCTTTGTTCATGCTGTTTCTCCTGCTTGGACACCCGCTTTCCAGCCCATCAGAATCCTACCTTCAAGGACAGCTGCAAGGCCACCTCTTTCATAAAGACCTCCTTCACCCACCCCTACAATGTCTTTGTTAACATTAATTCCCTCTCCTAAGTCCTCTAATTCAGTAATCAACCCTGTCTCAGAGACTGCTCTCTCTCTCTCAGGGGTTGGAGTTAAAGAGACTCAAGTCAGCCGAATCATCTAGAACTCCAAGATGGCTGTGGCTCGAAGGGCCTTTGGAGAGCACAAAGTGTGACCCTACCCCCGACATCGTCTAGGTGCAAGGGGGAGGACTTGTCCTCCGTGGAGCCCTGACTTTCCCAAGGGAAGGCAGAGGGCCTGGGCCTGGGTCCTCCTGAAGGCCCTATGGGTGAGGCTATTGACCCTTCCTTGAGATGGGTCAGCATCCTGGGTACCATCTGACCACCACTGAACCCAGCCCATGGACCCTCAGAGTTGGGACCCATCTTAAGAAGCCACCCTAAGCTCGGGGTTTAGAAGCAGGAGAGGAAATGCCTGTGCCCACGCCTTGGTACCTCTTTTTTCTTTAAGATGGGCTTTTTCTGAAGCACCTTCACTGCGTAGAATGTCCCGTCAGACTTGCTCTTGGCCAGTAGGACCTGAGCAGAAGCACAAATGCATGGCCCCCATGGGTGACTCCTCCCAGCTTTGGATTTCTCGATGGCCCCCAGCTCTGGCACAGAGTCCATGATTCTGCAGGCTGTGAACTCCCTCTTTGCACATGCAAGGGACAGGCGGAGGGTGGAAGAGGCTGGAGAAGGGGAGTCCCAGGCCTCCCACCCTCACAACACCACTCACCTTCCCGTAGCTCCCTTTGCCAATGACTTTGAGGAAGTCAAAGTCAGTGGGCCGGGCACTGGGGGGAAGAGGGAAGAACACGGGTCAGCATTTGTGAGCCTGGGCAACCTGGTGCCTGAGATCAAACCTAGACTTCTTTTTAATTTTGAAGCTGGGAAGACAGGATGCTTTCCAGGGCCAAGCCTCCTCACCACATTCTCCCAGCCAAGAGGGGGCTTGGGTGACTGGACCCTGCCCCTGGGGATCTCACAGTCAAGTTAATGACAGGCAAGGTGGGGAGAAAACCAGACAGAACTGCACAGGAGGCAAGGATCTGGCCCCCAAAGCCTGAGAAGGGCCCACAGGGTGGGGAGCTGCTAACGATGCAGGCAGTGGGCCTTCCAGGCACAGGGCTCAGCATGGACAAAAGCTGGGGAATTAGAGGGAAATAAACCTGGTGGACGGTCCTGGGCCCAGACAGCAGAGGGCCTTGATGCTAGACCAGAGAACTTGGATTTTATTCTCAAGGTGAGGGGAGCCAGGTATGAGGGGAGCCAGGCCGGAAAGTTGCTTGAGAGACCAGAACTCACTTTGGGTTGGCTGAAGGCCCCAGGTTGATGTTCCCATTGGCCCTTGAGGGCTAAAGACATTGACAGAAAGAGGTGATTAAGATCAGCAGGTCCCTACTCCTGGGCCTGCTTCCTTTCCCCTGGCCAGGGCCCTGCTGCCACTCCAATATCTCTACTAGCCTGCCTGCTTTCCATCCATCTACCAACTCACCCACCGCCCATCTCACCTGCTTCTCCCAACAGCCTTGGGAGGCTGCCGGCTGCTGTGTCAGTTCTGAGGGTAAGGACCTGAAGGCCCAGAGAAAAGCTGTTCAGGGCCTTACAGGCAGCCCACTGGCATTGCTCAGGTGTCCTCAAGGCCAGTCCCATGATTTTTCCACCCCATTTACTTCTTGAAGCCTGTGCCCAACTCTCTTCTCTCCCTGCAAATGGCCTGTTTCTGTGAGCTCTCAGTGACCCCTGTCAGCCCCCAGTCTTGTTTTGGGACAACCCATCAGGCTGGTGGCACTTCCATAGATTTCCTCAGCCTGGTGCAGGGTGGGGGAACCACGATCCACTCACCTGCAGACTGGGGGTCCCAGTGGGAATAGGATCCATCCTGTAACAGTGATCCGATGGGCTCTGGGGCACAAGGAGAAGCAGGCATGAGAGCTGTTGTTGGGGAATTAGTGTCACCCGTCTATGGCCTTAGGCGCTGCTGCACTCTCCACTCCTCCCCAAACCCATGCACCTGCCTTCCCTGAGTGTCTCCTACCTGAGGCCAGCAGCCCTGCATGGGACAAGAAATGACATCCCCTGGACCCAGCCTTGCTAATCAGACATCTCAGAAGGGAGAGAGGGAGGATGGCCAGGTGTGACCCCTTCCAGGCTGTGTCTTTTCGAGGGCTGGGGAGGGTCAGGGCAGCAAGATTGCTGAGAGCCAGGGCAGCTCCAGGAGTCCAGGATGGCCAGGACTGGAAGCGTCCTTGCAGAGCATAACAATCCACCCCCCCATTCCACAGGTGGGGAGCCTAAGGCCTAGTAAGGGACTTGCCTAGGGTCACACAGCTTGAGGAGCAGGCTGGTCTCCCCAAGCTCTCAGCTCTCACACAAGCATGTTGCAACCCTGAATGCTCATGGACAGCCTGGCCTGGCTATGTGTGGACTATTACCTCCTGTCCGCAGGACTTGTGCCTAATGCCCCTGGAATGGCAGCTGCCCTGCGGGCCTTGGACCAGAGCCATGGAGATACCCAAGACAGGCTGGTGTCTATTTGAGATCAGACAGTGAAGAGTGTGTCTAGCTGGTCTATGTAGCCAGAAGCACAGCGTCTTCCCTGCCCCCAGTCTGCAGGGTGGAGGAGGCTGGCACATCTAAGCCTTGGCCCCACAGACCACCGCTGCTTGGAAGTTCAAAGCCAAGAGCTGAGATCTCACCGGAGAACCCAGCTGCTTGCAGGGCTGTGATTGCCAGGTACTGTGTGTTCGAAGACCACAGCCTTGACCCACTGTGGGGCCTGGGCTTCAGCCCGACCTCTCTGGGCAGGGACCACCCATGTTTACCAGGGAGGTCATAGAGCAACCACCCATGGCCTTCTTGGGAGCTGAGAAGTGAGCACAGGGAAAGAAAGGGAATCCTCCATCCTAGGCTGCTCTGAGAGACTCAGCTCTGTGGATTCCTGAGAGGGGGGAGTTGCAGAACTGGCCTGACAGGGAGTGCAGCCTGGCATCAAAGCCTCATGGTCTGTGCTCCCCCAGATAGCCAGTATTGCTGCCACATGCTTTCCTAGGCTGATCCTAATGGCCCCTCTGCCAGGCCCTGGATCCCCTGCCCCCACGTACCTGTGCAGCTTGAGAAGAGGCTGCAGAGCGAACCAGTAGTTGCAGCCAGAGGACGGGCACTGGACAAGAGAGCCTTTCTCTGTTCTCCCAACAAGGGCTGAAGTGTCTGTGCCTGGCGCCAGCCTGGCCCCAGCACCCAGCTAGCTCCCCAGCTCAGAACTGTCTGCAGCGCAGCAGCGAGGGGGCTATTGATGTCATGAGAGACCCAGCAGAGCTTAAGATGGGACCGGTGACCTCTGTTCCTTCGGGGACATCGCCTCCCCTTGGGGGGTGGGCAACAGCTGCAGAAATGCCCTGCAGATGATTGGGGCTTGTTAGAATGTGTGTGAGTGTGTGAGGCAGGCTGTGTGTGCTGTGTGTGTGGGTGGGTGCAGGTGTTTTTTTGCATAGACGTGCATCCATGTGTCATCTGTCTGGTGTATCAGTGTGTCCCTGTATATCAAGGTATTTTGTGTCAGTGTGTGAGCCTATGTGTGGATGGCTGCATGTGCTCTACTTATTAGTGTCTATCAGTGTGACGACATATACGTAATTTTGTTAGTGTGTCTGCATCTGTGACTGTGCGTTCTCACTGTGTGTGTGTGTGTAGATGTGCTTCAGGGAGTCACCGTGTATGGGAGGACATGCCAGTGTGTATCTTTATCTATGTGAATGTGTGGTGTGTGTGTGTGAGTGAATGTATTCTGCAGATGAGCATGGGTGTCTATTAATGAGCATGTGTGACAATGTAACCACATGTGTGTGTGTATATACAGGTCGTTCTGTGTTTGTGTTCATACCAGTGTATATCAGTAAATTTCTGTGTGTGTGTGTGTGTGTGTGTGTGTGTGTTTAGGGTTGCTTGTCTATAAGAAGAAATATTCCCTGGGGCCTACCCCGGCCTGGTGTAGACCACCTTGGGAGGAGGATGAGGTTCCAGAGATCTCAATCGTGGCAGCTGAGGGCACTTGGCCTGCAGATGTTCAGAGCCCAGGGATCTGACTCGGTCCAGCTGGCCTTGCTCTTTGGCTGCTGAGCATTTGGCCCTTTGGGCCTTTCCATGCTGTCCTCGCTGGGGCTCTGGCCCCTATCTCCAGGCAGGACTGGTTGGCCCACAGCCCTGGGGCTGTGTAAGAGACAGGAAGCATGGTCCTGGCTGGCACCCTGGTTCACAAAGCCCTTGCTGCCTGGCGTGATAATTAGGTACTCACAGCGTCCCTTCCTTTCCCTGCAAGCTCATGAGGGGTGTTGTGGAGACAACACCCACCCCTCTGGAACTTTGTGTGCCACACCCAGATCTCTGCAATTCACCATAGTGGAGGGATCCATGGGACTGGGGTCGAGGGGTTGGTGAGGGAAGGACCTGGGCCCTGTGACCCAGGGAGTTCTCCGTGGGCTCTGAAGCCCAGGGACTTTGGGATGTCAGACAGGAAAACCCAAGTGAACAATATCAGAGCCTTTCATCTTTCAACAAAATAGAAATGTTGAACCAACACACAGATGGGCAGGATGTCATGTTGACAAAACACATACCCAGAACAAGGGTATTTCTTTTCAATAACAAGACCTTGATGGGGCCTTTATTCAGCAGCTCTGTCTAGAACAGGAAAATAGTAGTGATGCTGCTGCTGCTGATAATAATAATAACAACAACTCAATGTCCCACTGCCTGGAATAGCTGCCCCTCTCGACCTCACATTCCTCTCCAGATACTGTTCCACTCACTGTTCCCCTTTCAGTTAAACTCCTTGGGAGAACTGTCTGGACTCAGTCTCCACTCTTCTCCCTGTTCTCTCTTGAACCCATTCCAAAGAGGCTTTCATCCCAAATCTCCCTGGAAACAGTGGCCAGTGACCCCTGTGCGTCAAGCCAGGGAGGAATTCCTTGTCCTCGTCTCTCTCAGCTTTTCTGAGGGTTTGTCGCAGCTGCTTTTCCCACTCGGCTGCAGCAGCCGCTGGCTTCCTTTCTCCCTCACTAACTGCTCTTTCTCTGTCTGGGTTCTCCTCCTCTTTTCATCCTTGAACTCTGACCTGCCGCAGGGCTCAGTTCTCTATCTTTACTTGCTCCTCAGCACAATAGTTTATGGAGTCAAGCACCAACGCTACTTGACAATTCCCAGACCTGTCTCTCTAGTTCTGACTTTCTCCTGCACCCTGGATTTATATACCACTTTCCTCGACAATTCACTAGTTCGAAGTCTAGAGGCACATCACTCTTACCATGTCCAAACAAAAGTCTTGACTACATTTCTTCCCCTCTGCCCCAGCCTGCCCTCCCACAGTCTTCCATCTCAGTAATGGCACCCCCACTACTCAAAAGTTCAAGCCAGCAGCTTGCGATTCATTCTAGAAACCTCATACCCTCACCTTACTTGTAATAAAATCCCTTTAGACTCCATCTTCAAAATACATCCAGTACCAACTGCTGTGACCACTCAGCCTGAGCCACCATCAGCACGTGTATGGATTCTTGCAATAGCTTACCTACTGTCTCCCTATTTCTATCTTTACCCTCTACAGTCTTTCCCCACCAAAAGCCAGAGTGACTCTTTTAAAATGTATCAGATCATGTGATCTTGTTGCTCAAAAACTCCATTGCTTCCCATCACACCCAGGATCAAAATCCGAAGCCTTTATCGTGGTCTACGAGATGCCGTAGCACCTGGCTCCTGTCTCCATCTCCACCTTGGTCTCCACGCTCTCCTTTATTACACTCCAGCCTCTCTGGCTTTCTTGCTGTCCCTCAAACACACAGAGCGCCCTCTGACCTCTTTTACTTTCTTTTTCATCTGCTTCAAATGCTCTTCCCTCAGACATCTGCATGTCTGACCTGCCTTCTGATTCACAGAGGTCTCTGCTCAAATGTCACCTGTCAGAGAGGCTTTTTCTGATTACAGGTGACTGATTGTCCAAGACTTGGGGCTTTTCTGGGATGTGGGAATTTCAATGCTAAAACCAGTGCAGTGCTGGGCCAACCAGGATGCTTGGCTATTCTATAATACCAGTTCATACATTCTCTATCCACTTTTTCTGAATTCCCTGTCCATTTTTTTCTGCTTTATATTTTACTGTTACACTTATCACACTCTGACACCTTATCATGTGATTCTTTGTTTATTTCCCATCTCAAACTAGTGCATCAGCTCCATAGGACAAAGTCTTTTGTTGTTCACTGTTGAATTCCCAGCACGTAGAACAGGGCCTGGAATGTGGTTGGTGCTCAGTACATACTTGACTAATGAATCAATGAATTAATTGATAAAGATACAGTATATATAAAATGGAAAACTATCCAATGAAAAAACAATATACAAGCCTGTGTAAATTACAACAGGAATATATATATGTGAAACAATGTCAGACAAAGAAGCAGGTTTCAAAATAGCGGGTGTGCCACAGGTACCTTCTTTATAAAGAAAATAAAGACATGCACACACATGTACATTTGTGTATAGGCACCAAAAAATGGCTGGAGGGCCATGACCCAAGGTGACAGTGGGTTAGGTCATTTTTATCTTTGTACCACTGTGCAAAATTTCTCAAGGTATTGCTGTTCACTCCATACTTAGGTTCTGAGTCCTGGTGGGACTCTGACGTCCTCATAGCCCACCACCACATTCCCCCACCACCTCGACTGACTCCCACACGTGAGCAGCTCTCCGATCTAAGGTTTATTTCTCTCCTGTACCACTGTCTTTTGTTTTTTTATCTGGCCAGAAGCCAGGCATCAATACCTTACCCTGTCTCTTCAGACCTGCAAACTCCCAGGGGGTGGTCTGAGCCCCTGCCTGAACCCTCACGCCTACCTTTCCCTCTAACCTGCCCCAGCCTAGACTTGCACTCCTCTGTCCCATCACTACATGAACCTGCTCATGTCTTCCCGGCCCTGCTGAATGCACTGGGGGTGGGGGTTAGTTCCCTCTCCATGGAAGACTTCCCCAGCCAGTAGGTCTGCTCAGATAACCATGCATCCATCCTCATTTGCCTTCCACAGAGGCCTTGCCAGCCCACCCCCTACCCTGTAAACTCTTGCTCCTTTCTTTGTGCCCACCTGTTATTACACCTGATTTCACTCTACTTTATTCATTTACACGCCTGCCAGCCGTGATGGGCATGCCCATGACACACAGATGACAGTGCTTTCCAAGTGCCAGCTTAATCTTACTTTGTTCCAACAGCACCCTGAGTTAGGCACGACCATCACCCCTGTTCTAAGGAGGAGGGAAGTGAGTATAGAGAGGTGAGGTGATCCAGACACCTAACTAGCAAATGATAGCACTGGGATTTGAACTCAGGCAACCTTACTCCAAAGCCCATGGCCTGGAGTTCAGGAACAGGTTAGGAATTTAGAAAAGAGGGGATGAAGTTAGTGGGAAGGAAGTGAGGGTGTACATTGGTTAGCTAGGAAAGAAGGAAATTCAGAGAGGCAGGGAGTCAGTTGGAAGGGAAGGAAAGGAGGGAGAAGGGAAAAAGGCAGGAAGTGAGGGAGGGGAGAGAGGAAGAGTTAGGCAGGAACAAGGAAGGAAGGTATTGTGAGAGTGTTAGGAAGGAAAGGAAAGAAGGAGGTAGGTGGGAAGGAAGTTAGGTAGGTAACTAGGTAGCCAATTTGGTAGACCAGCAGGCCAACAGGCAGGTGTCCTGCCCTTGACTGAGCCTCTCACCTGAAAACTTTGGGTCCCAGGTCAGGTCCTGGGGAGCAGCCCCGAGCATGGCTCTGCCCTCCTGTTGCTCTGCATGGTCCCTCTGACCTGATCCAACCTGACTCACTGGACGACCTTCCCAGGCAGGAGCAACCTGTCACCCACTCGCTCAGGCGGGCTCCCAGACCAGCTGGGAGCTGGCTGCAAGGCCTTCAGGTTACTAATTAACTGCTGGACCTGAATCACGATGCTGTGTGTGCCCACTGGCTTTTAGATGGGCCCCGCCCAGAGGGCCCTCTGAACTTTCATGAGCTATTGCATAACTTCAGTTGTGTGACCTTGGGCAAGTTTCTTCAGCTCCTGGAGCCTCATGTGAATTGCTGATGATGGCAGGTGTCCTGCCTCACAGGGAGAGTCTCAGATCCCTTTCAACACTGTCACTTTCCATTCTCCAAAATCTCATAGCCCTGTCCCCCAGCTCCTGACTCTTGCTGACTCTCCCACAGAGCCTTGCCCGGTTCAATCAGCTGAATCACTTTCCCTTTTCTGTTAGAATCTGGAGAACTGACCATCAAAAAGGCTTTCTCACAACTCTCCCCTCCACTCCTTCCCTGCTAGGGACCACGAGCCTCTGTGATTAGCCCTTTCGTGGACACTTCCAGGGATGGACAGTGCATTCCCTCCTGAGTCAGCCTCATCGCCTGACATCTCTGCCACTCTTGTGTTCTGAGCCAAAGCTTGCCACCCAGAGCTCACCTGCTCTGGCCCTGCCTGGGCACCATCCCGAGAGGTGAAGACCTGTGCCCCACTCAGCGCTTCAGACACCTGAGGCTTGGGAGCCAGGGCTCTGCTGTCACCAGCTTGCGCGGAAGGAAGGTTTTCTCCCGGTTGATCTGAAGCTGCCCAAACCGAGGGTTTTAACTGAGGGCAGGGGCAGGGCCTGGCCTACGGGACGGGTGAGAAAAGCTCCACTCCGTGATGCCTCCTCAGTAGCCACTCAGTCTGCTACGCTGCTTCCTCCATTGCTGTTTCATTAAAATATCAACAGCTTCCCATTCTCGTGCCTGAACCACTGGCTGCTCTGACGTGCTCTGGAGGAGCCCTGCGCGCCCCACTCCCTACTTTCATGGACACACAATCAGCTTGAGTCTGGCCTCTGCCCAACAGGGCGGTGGCCGGCCCAAGTGCCCAGAGCAAATCAGGGCAGAGCCCTGGACCCGGCCCCTTTCCACAGCTGCCTTGCTTACGCTTTACCAAGCTCCTCCTCTGCTCTCCCAAAGCCAGTTTTTTAAATCCCCATATAATGGTATTGCATAAGCTGTATCGCAGAACTCCAACATACAGAAGGCGGACTAAAACGTGAAAGCTGCTCGTCCAACTCATGTTCAATCTCATCTCCAGAGTTAACTGCAGTGAACTATATGGCGGCTGTCCTTCCAGACTTCACCCATGCCCTCACCTACAATCTCATGCTTACCCATATCTCAGAGTCAGTAAAAATGGGCCACACTGTACATATTGTTCAGCAGCTCACCTTGTTCCCCTCATGCCTTTCTGTGTCAACACATAGAGATTCAACTTTTTAAAAAACATCTGCATCACGTTGTAAAATGTGGGATTCATTTCCCTATCACTATTCCCTATGCGCTGTTCCTTGGCAATGGCCATTTAGGTTGATACCAATTTCACAATAATTCTACAAGACTGCAGAGAGCATCTTTGTGTTAACGTCCTGTGGCCCTGTGCTGGGGTTTCTGTTTGATAAACTCCTGCTGGGTATGCTGGGTTACTTTTGACCTATCTACCGAATCACTGTCAAAAGCTGTACCAGCCGACGTGGCTATCAGCAGTGCTCAAGCTCGCTCTTTCCCCTCAGTGCTGCAGAAGGCAGCCAAGGCCACCCCTGTCAGGAAACCTCCGCACACATGCATCCCCTCCCCAACTTCCTCTTCTTTCTTTCCTTCCTCTCCTACCCTCCTGGTCTTCTCTCAGCTGGCAGAATTCTGTTGTTCCGGTATAAAGGTCAGAGATGTGTCAAAGATCCATTCTCAGGGAGAAGAAGAGGAAATGAGACTGAACCCAAGGGAGCCTATCTCCACGAATATTCCCTCCTCCTTGACATTCCTCAGCCCACTTTTCTGTGCTTTGTCTGGACACTTGCTGATTCATGCAGAGGTGGAGGGAATAATGGGCATAGGGTCAAGGGAAAAATGGGCCTAGGGTCAAGGGAATAATGGGCCTAGGGTCAGAACAGAAAAATCTGCTAGTCACATGGGCTGGGCACAGGACTCCTGGACCAACAGGGTTCACACATTGGCCAGAGATGGGCCTCCAGTTTTCTTTGAGAAAAAATTATTTTTAGAAAATGATAAATGTACAAAATTCATAAATCAAATAGGACTCTGAGGTGGATAATGAAAAAAATCAGTTCCTGGTCTCATTCCTCACTTTTTTAGCTGCTTCCGTTAGTATTGGCTTCTGTGGGTCTAAACAGCATGACTATACTGCTATTCTTCCATCTTTTAGTTTTAAAAATTATCAAGTGGCTCCCTTCCCACTACGGAACATGAATATTAAAATCTTGCCCATCTAAACACGCTCTTCTGCTTTTTTCTAAAGTTAATTAATAGTTAGCTCATTTGATGGTTTGAAATGTTAAATATATAAATAAACTCTGATCAAGCTGAAAATATCCTCTTACAAAAATCATATATTGGTTTTGGTTTATTTGTTTTCATCTTTCCTGGAGCCTTTCATCCTTCTGTTCCCACCTGGACATTTGCTCAACTGTCAACCTGGCCCATCCTGTCCCAGCACTCTGGAGATTCCCTTTTTCTCTCTTTTTGTTGAATGTCCTGTTTTCTGGATTTAGTGTTTTCCTCTTCCTAAAAGAATATTTTTTAAAGTTGTGGTTAAGTCTGTGTAACATAAAATGTGTCAGTTTATCCATTTTTAAGGGGACATTCAGAGGCATTAAGTACATTCACAATTTTGAACAACCATCATCATTGTCTATTTCCAAAGCTTTTCATCATCCCAAAGAGAAACTCTGCAGCCATTAAGCAATAACTCCCCATTCTCCCTTCACCCCAGCCACTGGTAACCTCTAATCTACTTTCTTTCTCTGAATTTGCCTATTAGATGTTTCATGTAAGTGGAATCATACAATAGTTGTCCTTTTGTGTCTGGAGTATTCTACTCAGTGTAATGTTTTCAAAGTTCATTCATGTTGTTTATTTCTTTTTATGATTAAATAATATTCTGTTGTGTGGACATTCCACATTCTGTCTCCGTGTTCATCTATCAATGGACACCCGAAGTGTTTCCATCCTTTGGATATTAGGAACACTGCTGCCATGAACACTGGCATACAAGAATTTGTTTCCAATCTTTCAGGTATTTATGTGGGAGGGAATTGCTGAGTAATATGATAATTCTATATTTAGCTTTTTGAGGAACTGTTCCTCAAACAGTCAAATTGTTTTCCACGGTGGATGCACCATTTTACATTCCAACTAGCAATTTGTCCACATCCTTGACAACAATTATTATTTTCCATTTTTAAAATTATGTCCACCCTATTTGGTATGAAGTATGTTTCACTGTGGTTTTGATTTGCATTTCTGTAATGACTAATGATGTCAAACATCTTTTCATGTTTTTATTATCTTCTTTAGAGAGATGTCTAGTCAAATCCTCTGTCTACTTTTTATTTGGGTTGTTTGTCTTTTGTTGTTTAGTTTCAGGGGTTCTTTATATATTCTGCATATTAAATTCTTGCCAGATATGTAATTTGACAATATTTTCTCCCATTCTGTAGGTTGTCTTCATTTTCTTGATAATGTCCTTTGATGCACAGAAGTTTTTAATTTTGATGAAATTCATCTATTTTTTCTTTTGTTGCTTGTGCTTTTGGTGTCACATCTGGAGTCCAATTGTCAATTCTAAGCTCATATTTACCTCTATATTTTCTTCTAGGGGTTTTATGACTTTTGCTCTTATATTAAGGTCATTGATCATTCTGAGTTCATTTTTTAAAATTAAAATATTGATACACAATCTTATGTTGGTTTCAAACATACAATACAGTGGTTCAACAGTTACCCATATTATTAAATCCTCACCCCCTCTAGTGTAGTTACTATCTATCAGTGTAGTAAGATGTTACAGAATCATTAACTGCATTCTCCATGCTGTACTACTGTCCCCATGACCAACTTATATTGTGATTGTGAATTACTGTGCCCCTTATCCCCTTCGCCCTCCCCTAACTCCCATCCCAACCTTTCACCCTTGGTAACCACTAGTCCCTTCTCAGTGTCTGAGTCTACTGCTATTTTGTTCCTTCTGTTTTGCTTTATTTTTATATTCCACAAATAAGTGAAATTGTGGTATTTGTCTTTCTCCACCTGGCTTATTTCACTGAGCATAATACCGTCTAGATCCACCCATGTTGTTGCAAAATGGCAGGATTTCTTTAATTTTTATGGCTGCATAATATTCCATTGTGTATATGTACCATATCATCTTTATCCATTCATTTATCAATGGACACTTAGGTTGCTTCTATTATCTTGGCTATTGCAAATAGTGCAGCAATAAACACAGGGGGGCATATGTCTTTTCAAATCAGGGATTTTGTTTTCTTCAGGTAAATTCCTAGGAATGGAATTACTGGGTCAAATGGTATTTCTATTTTTATTTTTCTGAGGAACCTCCATATTGCTTTCCACAGAGGTTGCACCAATTTACATTCCCACCCACAGTGTAGGAGGATTCCCAATTCTCTGCATCCTTGCCAGCATTTGTTATTTCTTTTCTTTTGGATAGTGGCCATCCTAACTGGCGTGAGGTGATAATCTCATTGTGGTTTTAATTTGCATTTCCCTCATGATTAGTGATGTGGAGCATCTTTTCATGTATTGAGTTCATTTTGTAAGGTGGGCATCCAGTGTAATTTTTTTTCACATGTGGAAATACAGTTGTTTCAGCAGCATTTGTGGGAAGAGACTGTTCTTTCCCCATTTTTGGATTTGACACTTAGCAATAATCAATTGGCCATAAACATATGGGTTTATTTCTGGACTCTCAATTCTGCTCAGTTGGTCTTTATGTCTGTCCTTATGCCAGTATTATACTGTTTTGATGACTGTAACTTTGTAGTAAGTTATGCCAGTATCATACTTTTTTGATTAAATTTGTAGTCAGTTTTGAGATCAGAAGTGTGAGTCCTCCAACTTTATTCTTTTTCAAGAAGTTTTTAGCTTTCTGGGGCCCCATGCAACTCCATATGAATAAGAATCAGCCTTTCCATTCCTGCAAAAAAAAGACCAATGGAATTTTGGTAGGGTTGGCATTGACTCTGCAGATCACTAGGGGTGGTATTGACATCTTAAAAATATGAAGTCTTCCTACTCATGAATGTGGGTGTCTTTCCATTTACCTAGGTTTTCCTTAATTTCTTTCAGCAATGTTTTGTAGTTTTCAATATCTAAGTCTTTCTCCTTGTTAAAATTTATTCCTAGGTATTTTGTAGATGCTATTGTGAATGAGATTGTTCTCTTAATTTCATTTGTGGATTGTTTATTGAGGTATATAGAAACACAAGAGATTTTGTGTGTGTATCTTATATCCTGCAACTTTGCTTACTTTATTAGCTCTAGCAACTCCTTTGTGGAGTCATTGTATACAAGATCATGTAATCTAAGAAGAGAGGTAGTTTTATTTCTTCTTTCCCAATTTGGGTGTCTTTGATTTCTTTTTCTTAGCTAATTGCTCTGGCTAGAACTTCCAGTACAACACTGAACAGCAGCGGTGAAAGTGGGCTTCCTTGTCCTGTTCCTGATTTTAGGGAGAAAGCTTTCAGTATTTTACCATTGAGTATAATGTTAGCTATGGATTGTCTTTGTAGATGCCCTTTATCATGTTGAAGAAGTTCCCTCTATTCCTAGTTTCCTTTTTTATTGTGAAAAGGTGTTAGGTTTTGTCACATGCTTTTCTGCGTCAAGATAATGTATTTTTTTCCCTCATTCTAGTAATGCAGTATATTATATAGGTTGATTTTCTTATGTTGAACTACCCAAGCATTCCTAGGATCTTCCTCTTTTTGATTTATTCTCATTTTGATAGCACACATCCTCCAGTAGATTCTTAAGGAAAAGTGTACAGGAGGTAAAACCTTGTATATTTGAAACCTTGTATATTTGAAAATGTTCTGCCTTCATATTTGATTGACAATGTGACTGGGTACAGAATTCTAGGGCGGAAATAATTTCCTTTAGAATTGCAGAGATATTGCTGCATTCTCTTGCTTCCAGTGTTGTTATTGAGAAGGTCAATATTCATGTTCATTCAATTCATGTTCCTTAGGATGACACCTGTTTTATTCTCTCTGGAAGCTTTTAGATCTTCATTCTCATTATTCTAACATCTCACAATAATGTGGCTTGGTGTTATTTCTTTAATGTCCAGTGTGCTGGGAATTCAGTGTGACCTTTCAATTTGGAGACTGGTGTCTCTGAAGTCTGTAATTTCCTTTTTTTTTTTTAAGTTTGTTTTTGCTTTATATGTAAAATTTCTCTGTTCTTTCTTATTGGCATTCCTATTAGGTGTATATTGGACCTCCAGCTAGTCCTCTGATTTTCTTATTCTTCCTCATTTTTCATCTTTTTATTCTACTTTCTAGGCAATATCCTCAACTTTATCTTTCAATCCTTGAGTCGATTGTCTGTGCAGTGAAAATTTAAATCTTCAGAAGTCCTTTCTTGTCTTTTTATGTTTCTTTTCCTTTTATAGCAGCCATACCCAGTAGAGGATTAGCTTCTGACAAGGGAGGATCAATTCTTCCACTTTGATAGGTAGGAAAGAAGGAAGGATGGATGTGGTGGGAAGATGCTGGCAGATGAAGTGGCAGGAAGATAAGTGTACTCACAACTTCTATTTTCTCTGTGACATAGATGGTGAAGAAAGGTAATAGGATAGGAGGTTTGAGGAGCATGAAATGAGAAGTCAAAGCTAACACCCCAAAAAACCCTGATGCTTCTTGGGCAGCCCTGAGTATTCACGCTGTAGCAAGAGCCCATTAGTCAACCCTGGTACCAATCTGTTCAGCCAGATAAGTACTGGGTCAAGGTGTGGATAAGATGGGATCTGAGCTCCATTGCTGGTATTCTTCTAGACAAGTGGTCTGAAAGAGCACCAGAGCAAGGGAATTAAGGATTTGACAAGAGGGGGGTTACTGTGATCAAACATGGCATTTCTGCCACTTGCCCTTCTGCTGACTCAGTCTTTGGAAAACTTAAATTCTAGCTGTTCAGTTTGTCATTTCCCCACCTGAAAGTCTGATGTTATTTTAAAAACTGGAGGTTTCTTTGAATTCTCTGCCCTTGGCCATTTATAAACTGTCAAGGATCAGACCCTTTCCACACTGTTCTCTGCGGGTTCCCACTGCTTATATTTCTCAATATAGACAGATTACCCATTTACCTTTATCCTTTGTTTATCTTTAAAATACAAGAAAAACCAGATTTGTTAGGACCCCCATTATAGCAAAGAGAATGCTTTTTTCTCCTCAGCAAAGGCACTATTGATATTTGTGTTTTGGGGATGTTTTGTCATGAAAATAGAAATGGACTCTGACTGCATATTATCCAGTAGTTCAAGTTTATTTGGGTTGTTTCAATACACTGACAAAACACACCACATTTTATCTTTTTCTCCCTCAAGAGTCAAGAATCACTTTATCTTAAACCAGAGGATTCTCTTAAAAACACACACGTGTGCATGTGCACACACACGCATACACACACACACACAAGGCAAGTACAAAAAAAGGAACTCCACCAAAGTGCATGTGAATGAAAGTGCAAACAGGCTTCATTTTCATACTCTGGGATCATTCTCTCTGCTTCAGAAATTAAACAGAAAGGTCCTCAGTGCCCTAGGCCAGGGCTGGGCAAGGGCTGGGTGAGGCTGTGGGGGCCAAAGGGTAAGCGGTGTCTGCTGCTAGAGAGCAGGGCAGAGGGCACATGCCACAGGCACCGGTGCCAACACCCTCCCAGCACTGCGCTCCCAGGCCACGGTGTGAGGATCTCATTTGGGAACAGGATGGGGGGGAAGAGGCAGTGGGGTGAACAAAAAAACAGATCTCCTTCCCCTTTTATGATTTGGTTTCTTTCCAAAGTGTTTGATGTTGGTGCAGAAAGTGCTAAGGCCTCAAAGTTTGGAGTCTGGGAGGCGCTTTCCTCCAGGGCCCTCGGTCCATCCTGCCTTTCCCATAGACAAGCATCAGGAGTGTGGCTGGCAGAACCACATGGCAAAGCTGTCCCAGCCCCGCTCCTCAGCAGCGGTGAGCGCAGCACAGCTGTGTGTACTCGCTGCCTTTCCACACCACAAAGCCAGCGAGACTCTCTCAGTTTCACAGAGGGGTGGACAAGACCAAGCACCTGCGGATTTTGCCACAAACCAAGCAACCAAGACAGGGAGGCGAGGCTTGCTCCTCCGTACTCTTGGCCAAGAGGCACTGATGTAACTTCCATAAACCCAACCTTCAGAGTGCCTCTAAAGGCTGGAAGGGCAGGAACATCTGGAACCCTGTGGGAGTTCAGCTGGGGGTGGGGGAGACTGAACGGCTGCCCTGACAAGGTTGTCTGGGCCCATGTGACAGAGGGTCCCCAACTAGGCCGGGGCAGGACATCAACATAGCTTTGGGTTTCCCGTTTCTATGGGAAAGATAAAGTTTCATATTGTAACAATAGCCCTTGATAGTTTCCCAACACCGGGCCTCACATCTCCACCCTGTCAAACAGTTCTGAGAGTGCTACACACACACACGAGAGAAGGGGTCTAGGGAGGGCGCCCCTACTCTACACCCTGCAGGCCTGTTTCAGCATCTGGGGCCACAGGAGCGTGGCAGCTGCCCCTCACCTTCATGTGGGGTTGGCTCCTGCTGGGGCCTCTGTCCCCACCCACCCACCCCAGGCTAGGAGGAAGGTTTGGTAGTGGCTCAGTGGAGGCTAGACCCCCACTTGGACCCAAAAGCCAAAGGCCCAGAGCTCCAGCAGACACCTGACTGGCAGTGCAGGACAGATGGAGAGTAGTAAGAAAGGCTTAAGGGACATGGAAAATTCAAAGAATTCACCTTTCCAACTCCTAACTTCAGTGGTCTTTGTAAGACTGCTCAAGAGTAAGACATTTAAGGGACAGTTGAAGGTAATGTTGTGGGATATGTGTGCTAGACAAAGTACTACACTCCCATGGCATGAGGCCTGGCAGGCAAGGGGCCCTCACCCTATGCGCAACACTTGGCAGAGGTCCATGGCTGCTGAGAAGGATGCATGTCCAGTTTTGGGAGCCACCATACCTGTTGGAGCTGCCCCTCTGGCCCAGTACCCGAGATTGTCTGATGTACCCCTTGGGCTAGCCTTGGCTACTTAGCTGGCCAGGCTACCTCCCCCTTACACCCAACACAGGAAAGGTGTCTGGGGAACACACGCGGACCCTTAACCTCTGCTGCAGAGGTAAGACATCTTCCAGCCACCTCATCTGCTGGAAAGAGGACTTGGCACAGGATGCTAAAATGCCAAGTAGGCCAGAACTGGGCATGTTTAGAAGGCATCTTGGCTTAGAACCCCCCACTTCTGGGCAGAAGGAGAGAGGCAGCCAGAGACTCCTAAAGGATCCTATGAAAACAATTTTCTGAGGCTCACTCATCAGAGGGAGAAGCGCTGGTGGAGTCTGGCTGGGCTGGAGGCTCTGCCCAGGAAACCAGGTAGCAAAATCAGCAGACAGAAGGGAGGAAGGGGTCTTTTTGAGTAATGTTTGTGGTTGGATCATTTCTTGGTACCAGGTACGGGAAACAAGGAAAGAAAAGCTCAAAGAGATGCTGAAGAGAAAAGGGCCTCAAGTTGGAGGACTGGTGTTCTACAGACTGCTCCTAACCGCTAAGAAGAAGGCCCTTTGGTGATAAAACAAGCAGGCTGGAGATGGGGCTGCCATAGGCAGGGAACTTCCAACCTGTTGTATCGGTGATGCTCCCCAACCCAGTCACACCCTCGCCAGCTGCCTGGTGGCAGATGAGCTCCAGGACTTGGGGCATAGGACTCCATCTTCCCCAGGGCTCCTCTGCTCCCATGTACCTTGTAGGAAGCAGCCCCAGAGAAAAGAAGGTCCACCCCAGTAAGGTACGGATTATGGTGGGGGGCACAGGTGGGATATGAGGAACTCAAGTTGAAAAGGAAGCATCAGCTGCAGCGGGAGGCCCAGCTCGGGCTGGAGGAGGGCCGAGCCCTGAGCCACTCACTTTAAGGTGTCATCGGCGTTTTTGAACATGAGAATGGCATTATAGATCTTCAAGGCTGGGCCCAGCTTGACGCTCATGATCTTCACAATGTCTGCCTGTGTCAGCAAAAGGAAGGCCTCGCCGTCAATCATCTGAGGGGCCGGGGGAGCGGGGTGGAAAGTGGGGAGGGTGGACGGGGTCAGGAGCAGGAGCGAAGGAAGAAGGGGACATGCACGGGGAGTCAGGGAGGAAGGAAGAAAATGGAGTAAAGGGTAAATGGGGGAAGGGAAGGAGGAGGGGGAGGAGAAGAGGAAGGAAGAGGAGAGAGGAGAAGGGAGGGAGAAAGGAAAAAAGGAAGACAGCCATGGGGACAGAGAAGGACAGAGAGACACCCACTGGTTTCCCCGTGTTCACACACACACTCTTTTTCTTTCTTCTGCCTGCCCTGGGTTTCAGAGCGTAATACACAGTAACATACTGTCTTCAGAGTCCTCACTGACAGTGGCTGCAAACACCCTGCTGTTGCTGTCCCCACAGAAACCTACCCGTCAATCTCAGTGCTGCCAACAGAGAGGGAGGAAGGGGGGAAGGAAGGAGGGAGGGAGGGAGGAAGGACAGTCTGTTGGGCCAATACCCAAACGTTCCTGATGAGATCACGGTATTCTGCTGCCTTTCAAATACCCTACGGTGACCTGTCAGGTGGAAATGGGCCTCCCAGGTCTCACGTTCTGGGTCTGGTGAATACAGGCATGTCCTCCGCCCTATCCATGCAGAGGGCACCTCAGACAGAGATCAAAGCGGGAGCAGTTCTCACAGGGTTTGTCATTCCTCTGTCCCCCCAGTGTTTCCTTGAGGGGAGAAGTGCCCCAGATAGTGACACCCTTGGACCTATGGAGCCCTCTTTGCTGATCCCAGGCAAATGTGTTTGTGCAGAAACACCCAGTTCTGGACTCCCTGTGCTGCTTAGGCTCTGGGGTTCCTCTTGGTGGTTCCACTGACTCCCAGAGCCTAGTCCCGGAAGAGCTGGGGCCACCCCACAGAAGAGGTCTTGGCATTTTAAACTTCAGAATATAAAGGAAAGAAGCCCCAGACATAGTTAAATATGTAGCATGGTTTTTTTATGGGAGTTCACTTATTCTCATTCAGAGCACCCACTGGTATGGTTCCTGTACATCATCCAGAGATTGCTCACCACTTTCACTGACAAAGCCCAGATGCTAGGTTCTCCAAATAAAGACTGGAGTTTGTGGTCTTGCAGTTTGGAACCGTGTAAGGGAACAGTGGGATCATTTCAGAACATACAAGACATTGTATGCATGCTGGTTTGTATAGGGAGTTTTGAGCCATAAGATCAGGATAAAGGTAATACTCTGACCAGGAAGGTAGAGGAAATAAAGAGGAAAATTGAAAAAATAGGCCAAATGCATGAATCCACTCTAAGCAATAGCCTTAAGTGTGAGGACAGGACCAGGGCATTTCTCAAGGTGAGGTCACCTGCATAAATCCTTAGAAACGGGCACAGCCAAGCTCAAATCCAATTAGCCCTATCCAATCTGAGTGAGGAAATGTCTGTGCTATCACAACAGAAAGGCAGGGTCCACAAGGAGCCTGAGAAAAAGGGGCTTTCAGGGAGCAGAAATTTGCCAGTGATTAGCTGGCTGCACTCTCAGCAGAGCCTGCGGCCCGTCCTCCCCTCCTCGGAGCTCCCACTACACTAGCTCCCACTACACTAGCACACAATCGACTCCAAGCCCTTACCACACTCCACCAGAAGCAGCAGCCTACAATTCTGTCTCAGGGAGCCTTCAAAGCAGGGACTTCTCTTACTTCTGTATCCTTCTCCCCTTACGCTGGGCCAGGCACAGAGCAGACATCAGTAATGACCTGCTGAATGAATTAAACACCTACACAAAGGCTGCAAAACGGGGACAGAGAGAAGACACAGCCGACTTCCCTTAGGTCCATCAGTGCCGACTACCAGGCTGGACACACTGCCCAGGAGACCATCTCGCTGCTCTGCTCTCATTTCTCACACATGAGCGTCCCTGTAATGACTGGTCTGTGTCCCAGCTGCAGAGAGTCTTGACCCATGTCCCTGAATGCCCTGACTGTATCTATTCAGCCAGAGACAAGCATCCCATCCCCTGGAGCATGGGCTTCCCTGGGGAAACTAGTGATGGGGGCCAGACCCTGCAGAAGGTAATCTGCAGTCCCCACAAAGGTCTTGCTCCACACTGAGATTCTATTCAATGCTGGCACTATATACCAGGGTACCACCGCCCCCCGATCTGGCTACTGCTTTTCTGTATCACAGACCATGCTGAACTGATACGCAGCAGACAGCCCTTCTCCCAAGAAGGGGGAATCCTACAGGATCAAACTCTTGGGTGGCACTGGAGCTGGCTGAGCGACTGCACTCAGAAAGCACTGATTTATGACCTGCTGTCACTAAAGAAAGATCTCCAGTGGGGGCCACCTGGTTCTGCTCTGTCTCATTAAATGTGTGTGGGGAAGACTTGGCTTAATTAAAACACAGAAGGCTTAGTTTTCAAATGTACAAGTTGTATGAGGCTAAAAAGGCTTATTAATATCCAAGATGACAGAATCAAGATTTAAAGCAATGAGACGATGAAACCAACAAGGTAACATTTAATAGGGATAAATGTAAAGCTTTATGTTAGGTTAATTAAAAAAAAAAGCCCCATGGTACAAGAAATACAGTGGAAATTTTGGTTAAACTATAACTGATAATGAATATAACAGACACTTGGGGACTCTCATGAACATCAAACTGGTGATGTGGCTATAATAAAGCTAGTGCAATCTTAACTTTCATTAACAAAGATACAGCATTCAAATCTAGATGAAGAGAAAACTACCCAAATGCCCATTAATAGGAGAACTGTGGGATATTCAGAAAATGGAGCGTTACTCAGCAATCAAAATGAACAAACTTCTGGCATACAGAATAACATGCATGAACCTTGAAAACCTTACATCGAGTGAAAAGAGACAGACACAAAAGAGTACATGCTGTACAATTCTATTTATATGAAGTTCAAGAACAGGCAAAACTAATCTGTGGTGCTGGAGGGATGTTGATTATGGGGGACTCTGTGGGGGGAGGGGAAGGGGGTACACAGGAAATCTCTGTACCTTCCTCTCAATTTTGTTGTGAACCTAAAACTGCTCTTACAAAATAAGGCCTTTTAAAAAACAAAACAAAAAACATCGAGGGGAGCAGCAGCCCAGTGTGTTCTGTGTGGGTCAGAGGGCACTGGATACAGAGTGTAGCTCTGGACACACATAACCCTAAGGAGATCTAGGTGAAGAGAAAACTACCCAAATGCCCATTAACAGAACTGTGGGATATTCAGAAAATGAAGCATTTAGGTTAGCATCCAGAATGGGGTGGAGTTTGGGAGCTCCACCGCACAAAGATCCTGAGAAGAAACTGGCTGCTGGGCCTGGGTAAAGAGACTCTTCCAGGAAAAGCAGAGCAGACTTCTTTCTATGGGCACCTGACCTGGTGTGGGCATCTATGGGGAGCTGAGACTGTATTTTCCTGTGTGAAGGAGGGTGCACAGGAGGGTTCTGTGTATTCTTTGGGAGGGAGGCCTACACAAACTCAAATGTCCCTTCCAGTTTCAAAGGCTACAAATTAGGACAGTCATAACAAAGTTCTTTATTGAAGGACAACTACACATTAAAAGTCAGAACTACCATTGACTGAGCCCCTGTTATCAGGCATTCTGGGATTGTGATATGATTTATATATTACTCTATAGCATTATATTCACAATACTATATATACGAGTGACATAATTATACCAGGCATTCTGGTACAAAGATCCATTCATCATTTTCACTGTTCACAAAGGCCCTGAAAGGTTATCATTATTACACCCATTTTATCTCCATTTGACAGATACGAAGATACAGAGTCACAGACAATAAAGAGCTCAAACTGGCAGAACTGGGACTCAGACCTAAACTGCCTGCAAAGCTGGTACTCTTATCTACAACTCACTGCTTCTTATCTTTGGCTAGCTTTTGGGTCTTGATTTTAAGTGTATGTTAGGATCTTTGCAGTAAACGGTAATACCTTTGCCACTCAAAATTAACTCTTATTTACTGACTGTCATAGGTGAGCCTATGTTTGGGAAATGGAAACTGGGCGGAGAGCAGAGGGGTAAATGGAATCCAGTCTCTGGGATGCCTGTTGCTTCCTAGGATGGTCTGAACACAGAGATTCTCAAGCTGGGCCATGGTTCGTATCAGATTTTTCCAAGACACGGGTCACTATGACCAGTATGACTCAGACAGCACAAGAGAGAGCCCTCCCTGGCTGGGGGTGGTGATGGAGAGGGCACTCGCTTACTGCCGTCTCAGTGAGTGGCCTCTGGCTCCACTCTGCACTCGCACCTTACCTCATCTTTGAAGAGTCGGGCTTGGTCCTCACATCCTGTCAGGGTCTGAACGAAGCCGAAAACCTTGGAAACCAAAGAAGACATGTTGCCAAAGGGATGCAGGCTGGGAAGCATGGGGGAAAGGTGGGCCTGTGGGCACTTGGTGCCCTCTGGGCTGTGCCAGTGCTGCTTTTTCTTATCAGCCGAAAAGGACCCTTTTCTCTGTGCTGCTGGGTGGGCAGGGGAAGCCCAGGGCTAAGGCCTGTCTCTCCCGCTGCACTTCCAGCTGGACGGGCAGCACACTCCTCTCCACCCACCAGGATGGGCCTGTGGAAGAGTCTCAGTCGGCCTTGCGGGCAGCGAGGAGGGGTTGTGGCCCAGAGATGAGTGTCAGGAGCAGCATCTGGCTCTGCTTGAGGGCCTCTCCCCAGCTTTCCTTTCAGGGTGTGGGCAGAGGGCAAAGCAGGACAGGAGAAGAGGGAGGGGCCGTCGCTCCTCACCTCATCGATGGTCCACTTGGCAACTGCCGAGGCCGAGATGCCCGCCACTCCCGGCAGGAGCTTGCAGTGCTGTTCCCAGCACACGGAGAGGGAACGGTCGGGGTGCGCCGACAGGGCTGACAGGAAGAGGGACTGGGGCATGGCATCGGCGGTCAGTGCTGGAAGGAGGAGGCAGAGGCAGAGGCTGGCAGGCCCATGCCAAGGACGAACCTGGTCCCTGAAGCCTGTCCAAACCCACACCATCCAGGAGGACGTCCTGGTCACCTTGCGAGCCACACAGCGACTGGATCTGACTCCTCACCCGGTGACTACCCCTCACAGTGAAGTGGGTTCCTCTCCTAACAGACCCAGGTTGGTGGTTAGGAATGACCCAGCCCCATCTCTCTGAGGTTGCCTCACCCTGGGCCCTACAGGATGCCCCCTGGAGCTGCTGCAGCACCCCTAAGCCATCCCCTAGATACCCTGCATCAAAATGGCCTGGGATATCCAAGCATGCCCAGCCCTGACAGCAGATGCCCATTCTGTTTTTACTCCTCACATAAAACCTTTTAGGCTCTAACCAACTTTTGCAAAGCAAGGTGATTTTGCCTGAGATCAGACTTACCCTGCCCAGTCTGAAGCCCACCCCTCCAGCCATTGACCCGGCCTCAAGCCCCACTCCTCTGCCCTGCCCCCCGAGCCCAGGGCATGCTCTGTCTCCTGGCACCTAGTGGGTGATCTCTGACCCACTCATCAACTCGATGCTGCCTACCACTCTCATTCCTGGTCTGCTCGTGGAATCTCTGGCCCCTGACCTCCAGCCTCAAAGCTGCTCCACGGTCTGCTGACTGACGCTGCTCTGCCTGGCGTCCTTCTCGGCCAGGCCTGGTGCTCGCCCATGTGGACTTCACCTACCTCTGGCAGGGCTGACAAATTGGCCCTGAAGCCCTCACCAGCCTCAGCTGGGCTTGGGCCATGTGGCCACTGTCCCAAGGGGCTTGCCCTGCCTCTGCCCACAGTCCAGGACAGCCAGCTCTTTCCTGCCCACTGGGTGCCAGTTCTAGACACCCGTGACCGCAGCACCCCACTGCCCCTTCTCACAGGCCATCCCTGCTCATCACAGACCATCTCCCCCTGCTCCCCTTAGGCTGGGCTGTCACCCCGGCTCCTCAGCACCTCCCCTTCGTCCTGAGCCTCTGCGACCCCATGATCAGCCCCACTGACTGTTCCCTACAACTTTGCCTCCCTGCTACCCTCTCTGCGCATCAGCCCAAACCCGAGCTCCTGCCCTCAGCCCGAACAGCAACACCTCGGCACCACTGAGGAGCCTGCTGCCAAAGCGTAGCTCAGCCAGCTCTCTCAGGACCTGCTTGGGGTGCAGCCGGATCTCTCCTGACAGCTGCCACACTGGCACTCCATCTACCTGGGCACAGGTTGGGCTTCCTGTCCACTCAGGCACTCCTCTCTGAAGCCCTGTATCTTGTTCTCCATCTACCCTGGTGAGGGGCTAAGGGACAAGGGCAGGTCTGTAGGGGGTTTCCTTCTTATCTTTCTGTCCCAAGATGGGACGGGAATTCTCAGGCAGTCATGGTGTCTTATCTAACTGCAAGCCATCGAGGTCAGGTCAGAAATAGTCTTCTATTTCTTCCTTTTTTTTTGGCTTATAAACAACAGAAATTTATTCCTCATAGTTTCAGAGGCTGGGAAGTCCCGGTTGGATGGGCCAGCAGGCCTGGTGAGTGCCCACGTCCTGGTGCACAGATGGCCATCTCTTCCCCGTGTCCTCACACGGTGGAAGGGGCGGGGGAGCTAGTCCTCACGGAGCCTCTTTGATAAGGGCATGGCTCCCTTTCAAGAGGGCTCCACCCTTACAACCTGCTCACCTCCCAAGGGCCCCATTTCCTATTATTACCACATTGGAGATTAGATCTCAACATATGACTTTTGGGGGAGCATCAAATGTTCAGTACATAACACTAAGTTAATAAACATCTGCTTCACAACCACAGTATAAGTTGATCAAGGGAGCTGTTGAACCAATGTGATGCACATTTGAAACCAGTGTAAGATTATATATTAATGACACTTTAATTTAAAAAAAAAGAAGTTAATAAACACCTGCCAAACTGGCACTGTGGCAAGGCATGGGGAACCACAGAGGAAAATGCAGTGTCCTGGAAAACACACTGGGCTCAGAACTGGGAGGCAGGGTTAGTTCCTTACTAACTTGCTGTTAAATCCCGCAAGTCACTTAATATGGGCCTCATTTTCTCCACCTGAAAATGAACGGAATGGGTAAGGAAATCTTTGTGCTTTCCTCTTTTTCTTTCAACAGCTGACACTCATGGGGCTCATGACAGGCCCCACAGGAAGGGTGACACCCATGAGTGGCTCACGGGCAGGGTGAGCAAGCTGAGTCCTGTCCTCTCCAGGCAGCCTTCCCCAGGGAGCTGTTTTCCAGCGAGCCCTGGGGCCCACACTGAGGAGGTCTGCCCGTGGATGTGGGAGAAGCCTCCTCCAGAACAAAACCAGGAGCGACCAGTGTCCCCTCTGTGTGAGAGCCAGCTGGGAGAACAGGGGAACCCTGCACAGAGGTCAGAGACTTGGGTTCTGTTCCTAACTTTGTCCCTGAGGTGCCTGAAGGCCTGGGGTGACTCCTTTCTCACCTTCTTTGGGCTGCAGCCTCAGTTTCTGGAAAGACAACTTCCTAGGCTCTCAGGATAATTTTGGAGTGATCACAGCACATATGCTCCCTGTGATGATGAGAACCTGGCCTGGCAACAGGAGCTGACCAGGTGGACCATGGGCAGGTAGACGAGGTACCCAATGTAGTCCCATCCCGCCCTCACTTGGGGGGCATGGAGGCTGCCCCGACCCTCCTTACTCAAGCCTGAGATGCAGGAACTGCCTTCTGTTTCCAGGAATGGCAGCAAGGGAGACTCAGGCTAGAGAAAGGACTAGTAGTAATACCAGCAGGTAGTTGTGCCAAGCACTTTACATGACCATCTCCCACCACCTTTTGAGGTGGGCACCATTATCAGCATTTTACAGATGAGAAAAATGAGGCTCTGCGAGACAGTGTCACCTGCCCAAGGTCTCAGCCGGCAAAAGACAGTCTGACTTTAGGGTTGTGCTTTAAATCACTACATATTACCCAGGTTACAGAGACTGCTCCTGAAGAACTGGAACAGCTTGAGTCCTTCCTAGGAATTGCAATGGGCCAGGTGATTTCTCATGGTCTTGTCTAGCTTTAAAATGATGTGCACTCAACTCAACTGAGGCAAGATCCCCAGCGTTGCTGAGATGAACTCATCACCCAGTAGAGGGCTCAGTCACCCTGTCCCTCCGAGCATGCTCCAGGCCGAACTGCATTCCCCCAAAATTCATGTTGAAGTCCTAGTCTTCTGTACCTCTGACTGTGACTGTATTTGGAGGCAGAGCCTTTAAAGAAGTGATTAAGTTAAAATGAGGCCTCTAGGGTGGGACCTAATCCAGTCTGGTATCCTGGTAAGAAAAGGAATTTGGACACACAGAGAGACCCCAGGGGCACACACACACAGAGGAAAGAGCGTGTGAGGACACAATGAGGAGGTGGCCGGCTGCAAGCCCAGGAGAGAGGCCTCAGGAGAAGCCAGCACTGCCAATTCCTTGGTCCTGGACTTTCACCCTCCACAGGTGTGAGAAAATAGAATTTTGTTGTTTAAGCCCCCCAGTCTGTGGTACTTGGTTATGGCAGCCATTAAGCTAAAGGAAACCGGGAAGGGAACTGATATTTGGGTTCAGAGCTACGTGTCTATTTTACCAGCAGCACAGAGCAGAAGCTAGACCCGAGGCTGAATCCCAGCTCTGCTCTTCACAAGGACAATGGCCTTGGACAAATGACCTCACCCCCCAAGCTTCCCATTCCTCTTCTCTCAGGTAGAGAGAATGATATCCACAATACAGGATGCTTCTGAGAGTCAGTAACGATAGAGCTGACCCTTGAACAATGTGGGGGTGGGGCACTGAACCCCCACACAGTCAAAACCCATGCAAAAACTTTACAAAAGGCTGTTGACCAGAATTACTGATTACAGAAACAGGCAATTAACACACTATTTTCTGTTATGTGTGTTATATACTGTGTTCTTTCAATAAAATAAGCTAGAGAACAGAAAATGTTTTTGCTGCCAAATCTCCAAAAAAATCTTCCAACATATTTATTGAAAGAAGTCTGCATATAAGTGGACCTACTCCATTCAAATCCATGCTGTTCAAGGGTCAACTGTATATATAAAGCACCTGAAACAGTGTTTGGCTCATAGTAGGTGCTCAGTGAATGGTAGTAGTAACCTTAATATTTCAGGTAGTTAACATCTGAAGGTAGGTATTATTCATGTTTTTAAATTGAGGCTCAGAGATGTTAAGTGACACAACTAGAAAGTGACAGCCACAGCCTCTCTCCTAGGAAGCCTAGAATCAAGAAGAGCAGAGCCAGGGGCACCATCCTGCCTCCCAATGGAGAACCAGAGGCCCAAAGTGTCTCTGTGCCTTTCCTGCACACTCACAGCAAGGCCACGGGTGAAATGGGACTGGACACTGAGGCCACCCAAGGCCCCATTCTGCGTTCTTGCCACTGCTCTACACCCCCCAAGCATCTCAAACGAAGAGGTGGCCTCCTTTCCAGCTTCCTCCCATTAGGCCCCCCTGGTGACTCATCCCCATTATTAAGCATTCACTGCAAACACTTTGTGGAGGGCATGGCAGTCGATGACCTGGGACTTACTTGGGAAATCTTCTTGTGGGCTCTTCCGATACTTTGGAGGGCGTCCAATCCTGGAGAGAGAGGGACCAGGTCCGTGGCAAGGAATCGGAGCCTGGCCTGGCCCAAGAGGACACGAGGCCCTGCACCCTTGCCCTCCGCACCGGCCATGATGGCGAGGCTTCTTCCTTAGGGAGAAGCCTGGGAGGTTCCTCTTACGGGCCGAGGCCTCCGTATCGGACAGCTCCGCCTTTAGTCGGCTCTGGTTCCTCTCAGCCAGTGGGCAGCCCGAGAGGCAATGGTGAGCTGTGAACTTGCCTGTGACGTGACCAGAGCCATCGCAACCAGGAGTGGGGCACTTCCTGGGGAAGGAGAGAAGGCTTAAGTTGGGCTGAAGCCACTTGTTCAATGGGAACTTAGCCCTTCCCACCTCTGGCCCCACTGGAGTGTCTTGGTGAACCCTGCCAGGCCATGCACAGTAGGTGTAGAACAAGCCCTCTCTTAACAAAGCCTAAGGGTCTCTTAGCATAAGTCCTTCACTCACCGGTGGTGAAAGCTGTACTTAGAGGTCCTAGAGTGCGGCAGGCTCCTATAGCTAAGAGGGGGATAGCCCCCAGGGGAGGCAGAACTGGGCTCTCTGGGTCCTAGAGGAGCATGAAGGAAAGAGTTAACCCAGGGTCCTGGCGGTGGTGGTGGACGGAGGGCAGGAAGGAAGTTTCCATGGGGAAGGTCAGCACTGGGAACTAGAGCTAGGCTGCAGCACCACTGCTGGCTACTGGGTATCTGCCCTCTTAGGCAATGAGGGCTTGGCTCTCATACACTTTGTTGAAACTTGTAGGCCATGCCTGCCATGGAGACGAGGAGAACTTTGGGGAAAAGATCAACTCAGAGCTGGTGTGGGCACAGCTATACCTTAAAAGCCACATCAGGCAGATTCATGGTCTTCTGTTTGTTTCCCTGTTTTATTCCCAGGATTGTTGTGACTTTTTTTAGGCTCTGCCCATGGTTGGTGAATAACCATGTGAGACTTGAGGCTGAGAGGTCCAATGACCTGGCCTCTAACCCTGCTTGTGGGGACCAGGAGCCAGCATTTCTTTAACAAACAGAATGCATGCTCTGCATGGCTCTCCTAGACGCTGCAAGAACTCCCCAGGTACATAACTACCTCTTAAGTATATGCCACTCACATCTCAATACCCCAAACCCAACAACTGGGGTTGCAAGAAGTGCTGTTTAGTGCAGCAGAGACCCTGTGGCAGGGAGCATGGGGAAGCCCAGGGCTCACTGTGGGCACCAGAGCCCTCTGAGTCAGACCTCGGCATGGTGGTCAGAATCCCCTGGGCCAGCTATAGGAGCAGGGTTGTCAGAGCTCACAGGGCGGGGTTGGGGGGTGCAGTTTGGACACCAGTAGGAAAGAGTCGGAGTGCCCTAGCGGTACACACGGAGAGGAGGCTGCAGGGGATGCCCTGTCTTGGAACACCAGCCCGCAGGGTGGATGTCTGGGTGGTCGGCGTCGATCCAGAAGTCATAGGCATGACTCCAGCCGTCAAAGTGGAGCTGTGGAGGAAAGGCCCTTGGACGTCAGGCACTCCTTGTGGAGCCCAGCTCAGCTGGGAGGTCCTCTAAGCCCCTGGAGGCTCTCCCCATCCCTGGGGCCTGTGACGAGCAAGATCCTGGATGGGAAGAACCAAGGGCCAACCCCGCAATAATCCATCTTGACCACTACATTTTCTAAGGGCTTTGCTCAGAAAGTTCCTGGCATCTCCCATCAGCCTGTGGATAGGATGAGGATTGTTAGGACAGTTTTATGGGCTCAGAGAGGGGAAGACTTCCCAAGCCTACAGAGAGAAGTCACAGATGAGGCCAGGGGGAGACCCAAGATCTTTGGTCTCAAGTTTAGAGCTCTCTTCCCACAATGTGCTGCCTTAGTCTGGCTCATGTCATGCCCTTGACCTCCACCAGTTTACAGAGCTCCTGCCCAATTGGCCTGTCCACACCCCAGCCTAAGGGGCATGGCTACCTTTATCCGATGGTCCTCCACATCCTCCACACTGGCAACACGAATCAGAGCTGGGTTCCGTCGGTCCACAGCCTCCAGCTTCATATTGACCAGGAAGCTGTGTGGGGGTCGCTGCAGGGGGGACAGTGGCCTTCAGCCAAGGTCCAGCTCGGCAGAGCTGAGGCCCCAAGAAGGAAGTCCAAGTGCTGTGCCTGGGAAAGTGTGGCCTGCCAAAGTGGGGAGGCCAGGGCTCCATTCTGGCTGGCCCAGTGCTCCCACCTTCCTGAATTTAGCTTCCAACATACCACCTTGAAGGCCCAGGCAGGCACAGCAGAGGTCCCAGTTTCTTCCAGATAGTTCTCCCAACAGAAGCTGTCAGGATCTGGATAGTCTGGAGGAGAGCATGGAAGCAAAGTCTAGGCACACTGGCACACGGAGGGAGCTCTCTGTCCCAAGCAGGACCAGGAGCACGGAAGGGACAGAGTCCCTTGGAGTGTAATCTCCCCCCACGTTAGCACAGCCAATTCCTTGCAGGGGGCTCTGGAGGCAGAGGGGTGCTAGTCAGAAGCAAGCACATCGTCGCCTCACAGTTCACAGGGCTGTCTGGGAACCCTGGCTCCAATCCCCTTCCTTGGCTCTGTCCCAGCCCCAGTCCCAGCCCCATGCGAACCTCTACTATGTGTGGGCCAGCAGAGTACTCCAAAAGGCAAGGACACACTTCCTTGGCTCTGAGCTCCTGCTTCCTTGCTAAGGGCAGTCATCTAACTTTCTTTCTTTAAACCTTAACAGAGGCAAGGGTTGACAGGCCTCTCCTAAAATCACAGGGCTGTCAACTCCTGGGCAAAGAAATTGAACGTCCAGGACACATCTATTCCCTTACCCCGACCCTAAAGGCCCAGCTGATGAGGTATTGGTAAGGGAAGGGATCAGGGGTGAGTGTGTGGGTGTGGAGCCGGGTCTAGGAAAGGGTGTTTGCTCAGGTTGCAGGGTTACCTTGTGGAGGGGTGAGGGGCTTTCCTTGCTTTTGGCACCAGCCCACTGGGTGAATGTAGGGGCTGCTGGGGTCACACCTGGAACCCAAGAACACGTCACTGTCCCAAATGAAACTTGGGATGCCCTGAGCCTGCAATCTTGTGACAGCAAGGCTTCAGGGCACACCCGCATTCTACTTCTCAGTGAATTGCACAGGGGCTGACAAGAGAGTCATAAAACTGCAGCATTTGCTAAAAACTCTACCACCACCATGACATCTAAGGAAAACCATGAATTACAGGGATATGTTCATTATCACCTTGGCATTTTTTGATAAAACATTTCACATTGCATTGTATTTCTCATGATCAGATTAAATCCACAGGACAGTCAATTATGCCCCAGAGCAAATATGAATGTCAGAACTGGGTAGGGGCTACATGGTGCCTGAGGTTTGCAAGTATTGTCTCCTGCCTCTGCCATCCCCTCATCCCCCAGGCCAAGTCTGGGCCCTTCCACTACCAGTAGTCGTAAGTATCATCCCAGTTGTCAAAGTGCACAAGGAAGCGGCTGTCCACCACGTCGGTCACACTGGCCACACAGATGAGGGATGGGTTCATGCGATCAACAGCCTCCAGCTTCATGCCCACCTGGAAGCCCAGGGGTGGGGGACTCTGGAGGCAAGAAGAGGGGCTGCCACAAAGATGCCCAGGCCACCTAGTGCTAACTTAGAACCCACTGGCAAAGGAGGAGTAAGTCCCCTAAGAGTCATGCCTGGGGGGTGGGCAGCGGAGAGGGTGGGAGAAATAGGCTTGGAAAGAGGGTCCCTCTAGGGCAGAACACAAGCCCTGGCCAGAGCCACTCAGGAACTTCTGGCCTCCAAGATGCATTCAGAGGAACCTCACTGTGGTGGAAGGTAAATCATGGACGGCAGGAGGCTGTGTGTCCATCCAGCCTGCCAGGTTGAACACAAGTCTCCTCTACCCAGCAAGCCTGGCCTAGCCTGGGCTCAGGCGCTTGGGTGGGGTGGTGGGGAAGAAGGACTGACACAAGGGGCAGGGATAGGGAGGGCAGGGAGGCACCTGCCACGTGGTCGGCATAAGCTTCAAAAGCCATCACCTCCTTTGATCTTTACAGCGACCCGATGGAGACACGTATCATCATGCCCATTTTATAAATTAAATAACTGCCCGGGACCACAGTGCTAGTTAATGGTGGGGGAACACTGCCCCTGAATGGCAGTGGGGAGTCCCTGGCCCACAGGGACTGGACTTTGAATATGGTAACACTTTTAATGGGGGTTCCCTATTATCTCTCAGACCTTTTGTATTAGGAGATACTTTAACTGCTGGATAAAGCTGCTAGCTCTCCTCAACAGAGTAAGAGATGGGGGGTGGGGGAAGAATGTTGGGACTAGATAGGAGATGCTCAATTTTGGTCAAAAGGAGGAAAAATCCAGCTCCCAGAACAGAGGCTTGGGCCTTCCACCAAGAGGTGTAGAGCAACCCAAAGCAGGAGATAAGAACAATGACATCTCAGTGCTCAGGTGGCGATGGTGCCAGGGGCTCAGAGAGGACATTGGGGGATGCCTGGAGGAGAGGATTTCTGCAGCAGGGAAGAGGGAGGACCTACGACCGGCTTCCCTCCTGGCCCTTGGCCTACCCAGCGTGCCCCTCCCATCTGGCACGAGAGACCAGAACAAAGCTGAGAGCCCGTAAGTGAGCTCTCTTCTGGTGAGTCAGATACCCTGGCCGGCTGCAGTGACTCTGTCGCCGGGGCAGGTGTCCGTTCTTGCTCAGGGGCACTCACGTGGCTCTGGCTCACAAAGAGGTGCTTGGGGGCAGCCTGAGCTCTCGTGCTGCGCAGGTACTGGCTCCAGCTGAACTCCTCCTCCTTGTAACCTAGGCCCCTCAGGGGGAACAGACAGAGCGCTGTGCAGACAGAGGCTGGGCCGTGGTGAGGGCACCCCACACTGAAGCAGCAGCAGAATCAGGCAGGCCTGAAGACCCCACAACCCTCAAGAAGCTGCCCAGGAACCCCCTGCTGAAGCAGGACACGGCCTGGGTGGACGATCAAAAGGCAAGGGCGAAGTGGAAGCACCGGGGCTGAGTCGTGGTTCTGACAGAGAGAGGCCGGCTGTGGAATGCGGTCAGGGAAGGGGGCCACGGGGAAGAAGGGCTCTCAGCCTCACGGAGACCAATCCGGCCAGGCCTTACCTTTAGGGGGCTGTAGCTTGTGCCCCGTCTTCTCGAACCAGCCAGCAGGGTGAATGTCAGGGGAGTTGGCATTGATCCAGAAGTCATGGCACTCGGAATACCCATCAAAGTGCAGACGTAGGCGGTAGCCACACACCTGGCCGCGTGAGGGAGAACCACAGGGACTCTGATGCCAGGAGATGCCCCTTCCTTTCCCTCACCTCTCCTGGCCCAGCCTGGTGGTCTCAGGGTCTCTAATGCTAGCAGGTTCCTGGCCCCACTGTGAACTGTGCCTCACACTCTCCCATCCTGCAAAAGGACAGTTCATGCACTGATGAGCCCCGAGTTCTGGGTGCAAGACAGGCAGACGCCATAACATCCTCTTGCTCTTTTGAGCCCTGGACAGAACTCTTAGGGCCCCTGATAGTCTTACTTTGTGCCACCCTTCCCCACTGCTCCCCACTCGCACACTGCTCTGACCTCCCTGAGCTCATGGCACTGCCCTGTCCCTTGCTCTGGTGCTTTCACTCACCCTGCCTCTTCTAACGGCAACACCCGCTCATTCACAACTCATCTCTTGAGACTCAGCAAAGGGGGCCTTTCCTCTCTGAAGCTTCTTCCGCCCCTGCAGTGCCTCTCTGCTGGTGTCTGCTGGCACCCTAGTGGTATGGCACGCGTGTTTATCTGGCTGATTCCCATGCCACTGTGAGCTCTGGGAGGACAAGAGCTTTGCTGGACTCATGCCAGCACCCTTGGCCCAGGGGTGGGGGGGGCTGCTCAGCACTGAGAAATACACCCATTCTGTAACATCACCACCCCCACACTTGTCTGTTTTGTTTGTGCTTGAGCTTTCTTTGTAGTCCACCTTGATCCCCTACTAGGTTGTGTGCTTTCTGAGGGCAGGGCAGCGTCTCCCTCATCTGAGGCCAGGTCCTCCATGCCCCAACAAGCCCATCAATCTATTCATCAAGACAAGACATCATTGTAAGGGTGGTGCAGGCCTCAGCTCACCTCTGCCACAGTGAGGATGAAGTACATGGATGGATGCTGAGGGTCGATGCCTTCCAACTTCATGCCCAGTCTGAAGCCATTCTTGTTATGAGTGGCCGCTTGGTACTGTCAATGCACAGATTGGAGAGGACCCAGCTTCCATCCAGCCTTATCCTTGCCTAGTGGGCTTGGGGTGAAGGAGCTGCCTTTAGGCCCCACCTGCCTGGTACTACCAAAGGGATAACTTATTTGGGGATCCTTGTACAGGGATCCACAGTGGGAGAGACTAGTGCCTAGATCCCTGAGTCAGGGCTGGACTTGAGCTCCCTCTCATCCAAGTCATGGAATGATCAGTGGACAGAATTGAGTAGAGGGTACCAGAATTCAAAAGTCTGCAGGCCCAGTGATAGTTGAGCCTGGGTCCCATCTCTCCATTTCTTCCTACCCTGGAAGCCTCTTCACAGCCCTTTTCTATTCTGGACCCAGTTAGTCTCTTCCCCTCCATTCTGCCTGTCTTTTGAGGGATGTCAGACACAGAAAACATCTGAAGGCCTGAGTTTGATGGTAAGTCCATGGATGGGGAATACAAACTTGACCTAGGTGGAAATTGTCCCACTCACGTCCTGAAAGAGGCTGACAGGGGCAGTGATGGCCTTCTGCTCCTCAAGGTAGGACTCCCATGTCCAGCCTTTCTTTTTCTCTCCTGATGCTGTAGACAGGACACAGACAGTTTGTCCCCTGGGCTGCTCCTATTGCACTACTTTCCTCAGTTTCCCCAGACCCAGCTCTACCTTAACCTCCAAAACGAACCTTTGTGATCACATACTGCCCTCTGGGCACACCCAGTCATGATGGTGTCAGACGCAGTGGGCTCAGACCTCAGGTGAGACTCAGTCTCAGGTGAGGCTACACCAAATTCTGTCCACCTCACCTTACCCCCAGGCCACTGTCAGCCAAAGTGCTTTGGATTATATAGTGACTAACTGCCGTTACAGTCACAGCCACAGAGAAAGCTGAGAAAGCTGAGTGACAAGTCTCAAATGAGCAGACTTAGGGTGGCTAACCACAAGCATTGGTGAGGGTGTGGATAAAGTGGGACTCCCATATACTGCTGGTAGGAATATAAAATGGTATGACCACTCTGGAAAACAGTCCAGCAGTTCCTTAAAAGGCTAAAGACAGAATTACTCTATGACCCAGCAAGTCTACTCCTAGGTATATAACCAAGAAAATGAAAACTTATGTCCACACAAAAACTTGTACACAGATGTCCATATCAGCATTATTCATAATAACTCCCAAGTGGAAGCAACCCATATAACCACCAACTGATAAATAAACAGTGTGATATATCCATACAATGGAATATTATTCAGCAATAAAAAAGGAAGGAAGTACTGATGCATGTGACAATATGGATAAACCTTTAAAGCCCTGTGTTAAGTGAAAGAAGCTGGTCACAAAGGACCACGTATTACATTATCATATTTATGTGAAATGTCCAGAACAGGCAAATCTGTACGTATAGGAAGTCAATTGGTGGTTGGCTGGGCTGGAAGGTGACTGGTGGTTTGGGAGGATGATGGGTAATGGATACAGGGTTTCTTCCTGGAGTGATAAAAATATTTTAAGATTGACTGTGGTGAAGGATGCATAACTCTGTGACCAGACTAAAAACCATTGAATTGTATGTTTCAAAGGGGTGAACTGTGTGGTATGTGAATTACTTTACCTCAATAAAGCTGTTTAAAAAACCGTATGTTATAAAAATATGTATAAAGCACTAACAGTAAAACATGGACAAATTGGACATCATTGAAATGAAAACTTTCTGCTCCTCGAAAGACATCATTTAGAAAAGAAAAAGCAAACCACAGACTAGGAGAAAATATTTGTAATATATACATCTGACAAAGGGCTTGTACCCAGAATATATATAAGGAATTAATAGTAAGAAGAAAAACAACCCAATTAAAGATGGACAAAATGTATGTCTAAAGTAACTATGAGGATGCCTGTAGGATGGCTCTGAATGCGAAAGGGTGTAACAAGTTGATTGTGAAGAGTGCCACCACAGATGCTTGATCTCGATGTGGGCAGAATGAGAGATGACATGAGACTATCAGAGCTATACAATGATCAAAACAGCTATTAATGACTAAATAAATTGTAAAGACTTTTGTTTTTCTATTTATTTCTGGTTTTGGTATTTTTGCATTTTGATTTCTTTTTCTCTTGCTTTTCTTATTTAAAAAATTTCCCCATTGTTTAATTAATCTTTATTGTAAAGACTTTTGCAACGTTGTGTTAGAAAATGATCCTTCACAGTATAGCACAGGGAAGACAAGTAGTGACTCTACAGCATCTTACTACACTGATGGACAGTGACTTTAATAAAATAAGGTATGTGGGGGGAACTTGATAATATGGGTGAATGTAGTAACCACAATGTTGCTCATGGGAAACCTTCATAAGATTGTACATCAATGATACCTTAGTAAAAAAAAAGAACACTACAGTAAAAAAAGATCCTTCACACAAAGCAGCTGTTGAAGAGAGTTAGGAGATATATAAGAAGGCCTGAGTATGTGCGTGCATGAGTTACATAGTTCTAACTGTTAAACTACTAGAACATTCCGGCAGGTCTAGATACAGCAGGTCTGTAGAACATGAATCCAATAGCTGGCCATCAAACTAACAAACAGAGTATAGATACAACATAGATTTTCCACACACACAGGACACTCAAGCAACCCTGCCACCTCCTCACCAACCCTTAAGATTCCTTTACCAAAAGACCCAAAAAAGAGTGGAAAAGATTTTAGCCATAAATGCAAACTTCTGTCTACTGATAAGAGTTTCTTCCCTTGAAAAAAGTAAAAAGAGGCAGAAGGGGGAAAATATCCAGAGACTACTACCACACTAATGTTCACAGAAGATAACTTTGAATCAGAAGATAACTTTGTACTAGTCAACAGGACCCAACTAAAAGAATGCTGATTCTTGCATCTATTTTCTTAAGTTAAGACAGAACAGTTAAGCCAACAGTAGGTAGGCACTGGCTGCTTCCTTTAAGACTTAGGAAACCATAAACCCAAGAAAGCTAAGCCTGTGGCTTTTGATATGACAGCCTTGGGTGCGAGACAGCAGTGACCATCTGGTTCAGCTGCGATGTGCAGAACTGGAATAGGCACCACAGAGTTCTGAGCCCCAGACACAGATCAGGCTCCGGGCTGGCACTGGATCCACCAAAGCAGAATGAAGTCCTAAGAACCGACCTCACTCTCTGGCTCTCTCTGGGACATGAAAGACTGACTCGTGCAGCTGAGCCATGGTCCAGGAGAAACCACCATCCTACGACTCATCCACTCACCTACTGAACGAACATTTTACGAAAGTCTACTCCATACCAGTCTCTGGGCTAAGCATCAGGGATAAACAATTAATAAAACAGATTCAATTTTGAGGGAGGAAGACAGACATTAAGCGAATTGCTACATAGTATCTAGGTGGTTACAAGTGTGATAAATGCTACTTAGCTCCAGTTGACTATTGTCACATGGGAATGTGGAGATAGTAATGGAGAAGGCCTGAGGGCCAGAGATGACCACGAATGACCTTTTTTCTATTTTTTTAAATTAGAACGAAAGGGTCAGGATGGGGCCCAAATAGCTAAGTCAGACTAGTGCTCACACTACCAAAGGGAAGCAATGCCATTGTGGTGCCATTAAAGGCTGCCCAAGTCTTTGGATACTGGGCCCAGCAGAGAAGCCTACTCACAACTGGATAACAGAAGATAAACAAACACATGATACAACCACCAAGAACACACATATACTAATACATAAACCAGAAATACTGGTTCTCTCATTCTCTCTCTCACACACACAAACTCACCATCACAACTATAACCCATGCTCCCAGCCTCACACCTCCAAATGTGTTACACACATCACACCAATATATACATATGCACAGGTCACCCTACCAGGCAGGCTGCTGCTCCACTCCTCACTTTCTGGGGTGCTACCAGCAGGTTGTCCCTCTGGATCCCTTCCTTCTTCTTGCTTCTCCTGTGGGAGGCAAGCTTGATCCCAGCTTCCTGTCCTCATGGGTTGGGGTGAAGCCCCAGCCTCTATTGCTGAACCCTGGCTGGCTCTCTGGCCACGTGGTGTTCTGTCCCAACCAGGGGGAACTTCTTCTAGGCCACCAGCAGGAACACAGCTCCAGCAGACAATCCCCTACCACTTGGGCACAGACACACATGAGCACACATGCCTAGTTACACAGCCTGACTACAGTTTGCCTCATTCCCAGGTGGGGAAACTGAGGACACAAATACATGTCCTAGGCTGATTGTACGTGCCCTCCAGAGATTTCACGCTGTCTCTTCCGGCTTCTCTGCAACTAGAGCCCTGTGCTGCCTGGCCTCTGGCCCAGTGCCTGGGCTCCACCAACGGAGCTTCCCATCTGCCTGCACACCTACTTGGGTGAGTGTGCATGTGCATGTGACTCAGCCCCGACACTAGACTGAGATGGGCTCTTCAGAAAAGCAGGAGAGTGATTTATTCATTTCCCTCCAACCAAGTACAGGACCTGATTCAGGATGGGACCCCAAAATATGATGAGTGAGTCTTCTCTGGCCTGGCCTCATAACCTGGATTAATGGAGGCGATAGTTGGAATTGAGGTATGGCCTCTCGGTTCCCTCCTTCCTCCCCACTGCCCTCTTCCTACCATGGCCTCTGGCTCTGACTCCTCCTCTGATGGGCTCTGGTACTCCCGGCGCTTCCTCTTCTTCATGGGTTTGAGAAGCTCCGAAGAGCTGATGCAAGAGGAGCTCTGGCCTGAGGAGTTCTCCACTATGACTGACCTGAGGGAGGGGCAGCCTGAGGAAAAACACCACCCACCCTGCACCACCCAGCCCCTCTCCTAAGCCCTGAATAGGACTGGGCTTTGGGGCCTGGAAGGCAGGGCAAGTAGGGTTGCAATCCCCTGCCCCTTACCGCTCCTGGAACAGCTGGGGGCAGCCATCATTGGAGAAGCCAGGTTCTGGACCAGCACCTTGCTGAGGACCACACTCCTGGCACTGACAGGTACCATCGTTCTCTGCGGGGTTCTGAGGGGGATCTTCTAGAGGGTCCTGGGGGAGGTCCGCTGTGGGGGCAAAAGGGGCCCAGGCCTGCCGCAGCCACACAGGCTCCGGCCACCTCAGAGCCCACGCCCCCTGAGGCCTGACCTCTACCTTGGTCCCACCTGCTCAGTTTCCACAGGACAGTCCCCCCACAGCCTTCTCCACCTCAGGACCAACCCCCGGCGCACCTGCCGGAATCCAGGCCACGCCCCCTGTGGCCACGCCCCCTCCGAGGCTCCTCAGGATGCTCAGGCCTCGCCCAACCTGCGTAGGGGCCCAGCTAGAGGCCTGGGTGTGGGGATGGGTCCTACCGGGCTGTTGGGGGCCCACATCTCCACCTCCCGCCGGGGCCTCGCCGTCTCCATATTCGGCCACGCCTTCCGGGCGCAGCTCGGGACTCGGAGGCTGCTCCGCTCCCACCATAGTCAGTGGCGCGTACTCGCTTATCCGGAACTGGAACGCCAGAGGGTGGGAGGACAGCAACTCCAGTACCCGCCCCCGATCCCCCCCAAGTAGGCACGGCCCCAGACCCCGCCGCTCACTCCAAGCCGCGCCCCCAGCAGCCCACAGGACTCTGCCCGCAGGTGCCTCACTCCAAGCCACGCCCCCATAACCCGTTCCCCATAAACCACGCCCCTAGGGCCTCTTGTGGCTCGTCCTCAGAGCCCCTCTCGCCAAGCCACGCCTCTAGATCCCTAGGGCTTCGGGTGCTTCAGTCCCAGCCACGCCGCTGAAGTCCCCAGCTCAAGGCCCCACCCCTAGCATCCTTCCTGTCGGCCGGCCTTCCCCCACCTTCCGCCTCCGGCCCACCGGCCCCGCCCCGCAGATGGGCTCGCTGGGCCCGGCCAATCCTCACAGACACTGACCCGCAGGCCGCTCCCAGGAGGTGGGGCCGCAGCCTCAGTCCACTCCAGGAGCCGCACTGTGCTGGCGCTAGAGCTGGCCGCCGGCCCGGTGCTTAACTGCGGCAGGACAGTGGCGGTGACTGGTACGCTGCCGGCCACTCTCTCCGGGGCGCCCCCGTGGATTGGCTCCCGCGGAAAACAGGACACATCCAGGGCACTGCTGGGTAGGCCGAGGGTGGCCGAGCTGGCTGCGAACACATACACAGATATGACACAGGTGAGCCTGGAGGCCCTGTCCTGATCCTGCCATGGCACGCGTGTAGGCAGGTGGAAAGAATCTCCTCCCCAGGATCCATTCATGCTTGGGCAGGTATGCGAATGCTCCTCCCCAGACCTCTGGCTTTGCCCACCTGGGATGATGTAGGCCGTAGCCGGCAGGTGAGCGCTGGAACCTGGGCTGTCTCTGGCCACCAGGTGCACGCTGACCTCTCCTGTGGGGGGGCCCTTCAGTGTCCTCAGCATCTCCATTTCAGCATGCCCGTCCATCCTGGTAGGCCTACAAGCTGAACATCGCCCCCAGGGCCATCAGGGAGGGAGAGGCTATTTTGAGGAGCAGCTGGCCACTCTCAGGATGGGAAGCTGCAGTGAAATACCTCTACCCTGATGAGAGCTGGGTGTCTTAGGGGGACCAACCTCAAGTCTGGCTCCTGGCTCTGGTCACACAGGTGAGAGCTCTGGCTAAGCCCCGCATCTCCCCCAGTTGTCTGTAAGACGGGTATGTGTGAGGATTCTTTGTGGACTGTGACAACCGATTCTGGGGAGATGTCTCAGGCGAAGTTCTGTCTGGCCATCTGTCCTCATGACATTGCCCAGGCCATGTCCAAACTCCCCTTGTTCTCCATCCCACCTCCATCCTCGCTAGAATCACTCCCTTCTCCGTCTGGGGACTCAGAGCCCTCAAATAATCAGGTTCTCCTTCTCTGGTACAGGTCCACTTTCCCAAGGGGATCTTTCCTGATCACTTTCTTCTATGCCCCTGCCCACCACTCCCTCCAACTGCAAGCACAGAGTGGGCCCTCAAACATCTGTTGAGCAAATGCATGTACCTGAAGAGCAGAGAGGTGGTTTATGAGAACCCAGGCAGTGCATGACTTAGCTTTAATAAAGCAAGGGCAGTAGGAGCATTTGATAAGAGGTAGTTAAACAGGTAAATATATGATTGGGGGGAAAAAAAGACCTAGTGACCTAACAAATATACTTAATATCTATCATTTACTTAGCTCCTAAAATGTGTCAGCTGATGTTCTAGTACTCAACACCACTGTTCAGAATTTTCTGTGATGATGGAAATGTCCTATACCTACTCTGTCCAACACAGTCCACCAGCCATATGTGGCTACTGAGCACTTTAAATATGACTAGTGAGTGAGGAACTGAATTTTTATCTTACTTTAAATTAAATTTAAATAGCTATACATGGAGAAGACAAATAGTGACTCTATAGCATCTTACTACGCTGAGGGACAGTGACTGTGATGGAGTTGGGGGGGACTTGATAATATGGGTGAATGTTGAAATCACAATGTTGCTCATGAGAAACCTTCATAAAATTGTATGTCAATAATACCTTAATTAAAAATAATTTAAATAGCTATACTGATTGTATTGGGCAGCCCAACTTTACATATAATTACAATTGGCCTGTTGGCTTAACCTCCAGAACACATGTCAAAGTCTGACCAGTTCTCTCCATCTCCATTGCCACCATGCTAGTCCCAACCACCATCAGCTCTCCTTGGACTTGACAAATTGCCTCCTAACCCGTCTCCTTTCTTCTTCTTCTGCCCTATACAACCTATGCTCCAGTGAGAGAAAGCTTTAAAAATGTAAATCAAAGCACACATTTTCCCTATCTAAAATTCTTCAGTGGCTCTCCAGGGCCCTTAGAATAAATTCAAAGTGCTTTACTCTCTAGAATCTGGATGCCTGTCTTCCTCTCTGATTTCATCTCCTCCACTTCAAATCTTCCCCTTGTTCTTCACCCTCCACAAACTCTAGTTTCCTTCAATTGCTTGACAAATGTTCCTACTGCAGACTCTTGGATGCTTGCTGTTCCCTGTGCCTGGAGTGCTCTTGCTCATGTGCTCTGCTTGGCTGCTTCCTTCCCGTCCTCCAGGGTCAGCTCAGTGCTCACTTCCTCAGAAGGGGTCTTTCCTGGCCACTCAGTCTAAAGCAGCACACCCCTTACTCCATCCCCTCCTGCTTATCTCATTACTGTGTCTATTTCCTTCACATCCTTTATTATCGTAGATAATGATACTCATTTACTTATTAGTGTTTGAATAGTAATCCCCACATAAATATAAGTTCCATAAAGGCAAAAAAGACTTTATCTTTTTTACTGCTAGTGCCTGGCACACACTCAGTAAGTATTTGTGTCAGATTTCAGTAATTTCAACTTGTTAATAGAAAGCACTGTATGAGTGCTTAGTACTTGGTTGCTTTAAGGTGTCAGCAGTCCTTGACAACGGCTTCTCGTATACAGGCCAAAGAAAAATATGGGCCCAGGCTTAAGATTCTCAGTTTGAATCTCAGGTCCACCGTTTAATACCTGTGACTCTGAGTAAGCAGCTTACTCTCTTTGACCTCAGCTGCCTCGTGTATAAAGTAAACGTGGTAATGGTATCTACCTCAAAGGACTTTGGTGAAGATTAAATGGAAAAAAATGTAAAATCTTGATACAAGAAGGCCTTCAATAAATACCATTCCACTCCCTTTTAACAGCAACTCCAGGGAGCGTGGTAGCTGGTGGCCAGTAACCTGTAAGCTGCTTGCTCGCAAAAATCAGCATGCAATGGTTGCTGTCTCTCCCACCCACCTTCCCTCCTGCTGTTCTTGTGCATTCACTCATTTTCTAGCTTTTCCTCCCTAAATACAGAGTCTGTCCTCTATATCATAGACTGTTTAATCAGGTAGATGAGGCTAGACATATAGCTTGATTAATTAAGGCAACATTCAAACCAAGGTTTGTTTTCCCTGTTTTTTAATTGTAAAATAGAATTTCCTGAATTTCAATTCTAATTATTTTGCTTTGCACAGCTGATGTACCATTTTAAGTTCTTCTAAACAGAGTCAATCTTTTTATTCAAAATATTGGCAGTCATTAAGTGTGAATGTGGTTACTCTTGAAAGAATTCCATTCTGTTTCAAAATCTATCACGTTTCATGTCTATCAAGGAGAAGGGGCAGAGAGGATTGCCGTTCTGTCTAGGTTTGTTGACCTTTTTCAGCAAATACAGGAGGGCCAACCAGGTGTCAGCACTGTTCTGTGCTCTGGGAACACAGACTCAAGACAGTGATCTCATGAAGCTTATATTCTAGAAATAAGGGATAGGGTTAGGGCTGGACATATAAATTTGAAAACCGTCATGTATAGGTGGCATTGAAAATCATAGAACTGTGTGTGAAGAAAAAGGTGGGAGCTTTGGAGCTCACTTTATAGGTTGGGAAGAGGAAGAAGATCTAGTGGAAGAGCCTTCAGTGAGGTGAGAGGGAATCCGGAAGAGCCTGGGCTTCATGAGGACATGTGAATTTTCAGGAAAGTGGGACTGCTCATTGGTGTTAAATGCCACTGATAGATCACGTCAGATGATGGCTGAGAGTTGATCATTTTAGCAATAAAGAGGTCATCATCAGAGGGTCACTACACCAGAGCACAGAAACACTGCTAGATCACAGGACGTCAGACCCAGGGAACCTCCCTAAAGACCAGCTCAGGTGCTGTGGTGGATGGAGGTACACAGAGGCGCTACTATCCGGTGAGCATCATGAAGGCAGCACACCTTGGAGGATGGCATGCTCAGGAAAGCAGAAGCATCCACACAGGAAATGAACCATGTTCACTGAGAAACAACTGGCAGATCTCAGGGTTCAGTTCAGGAAGAACCCGTACCCCACCTCCAGCCTTCAGAAAGAAACGGCCTCCAGAATGGGCATACACCCCACCACCCTGCTGGTTGGTAAGCAATGTGCCATCTTGCCAAGCCACCTCCCTGAACAGGCTCAACCCAGATGCCATAGTATAATTCCTGAAGCAGACCCTACTCAACTAGACCCCAAAGACCAGGTACCTACCCACACAGTCTGGTTCAAGAACCACAGAGCAAAACTCAAGAAGGCCAAATATAAGCATATTCAGCAATATCGAGATGCTGAACAACAGCAATTAGCTGGGGCAGGAGTCACAACCAGCTCTTTCAAGAGTGACATGGACGTACCTCCCAGATCCCCTACGAGCACCTCCCCTGCACCTCTGGTCTACACAGATCATCCAACACCTTCATCCCAACTGCACATCTACCCCAACATTAAGGCTTCCACAGACCATTCTGTTGGCCACAAATTAGTCCATTTTGGCTGCTGCCAAGATCCTAACATATACTGCCACCATTCCATCCTGGAACCCCAAGTGTTTCCCACAAGCTTCAATTCCGATTCTTGTGGCTATTCATCTCCACAAATAATTTAGCAAAAAGCTAGACACAAGGCCACCTCCAGCAATGATTTGTAATGATTCCCACAGAAGGGACACTTTTCAGCTACACACAGGAAGAAAACACAAGATGTACACATGGATGCATTTCCACAACATGCTGAGTCAAAGGAGAAAAAAAGACACAAAAGACTATACTATATACTATATTAGTCCAGTTTATATGACTTCCCAGAGCAGGAAGAGCTAATCTATAATGGCAGAAAGCAGACCAGTGGTCTGAGAGGAGAGGCAGTAAGCCAGTCATTGGAATATTGCATAGGGCTCACATCCTAACTCAGGTGGCTGTTACCTGGGTGTAGAAATTCATTAGGACACACAGGACTGTAGTACCATGTCATGTACACTGCCAAGAACATCAATTTCATGGAGGGATAGATTAGCCATGGAGGTAATCATCTTGTAATGCATAAATGTATCAGATCAACATGTTATATACCCTAAATTTACACAATGGTCTATGTCACTTCTGTCTCAATAAAGCTGGAGAAAAGGTGTAAAGGATAATAATAAGAAGAAAAAGAGGTCATCAGAGACCTTGACAGGAGCCATTTCTGATCAGAGGAGCTTGGGACGAAAAACTGATAGGAGTGGGTTCTAGAGGAAATCACTGATTAGTTCAATATTTATCGAGCACCTATGATGTGCCTGGCACTGTTCTAGGCAATGCAAATTTGTCAGTGAACAAAACAGACAAAACCCACCTACAGTCTACATCCTAGTGGGGCAAACTGACAATAAAGATTGGTCTGCCTAGGAGAATAGGAGAAAAGGAAATGAAAACAATGGAACTAACAACTCTTTCAAGGGGTTGTGATGTAAAGGAGAGCATGGAAACAGGGAAGGTATTTGGAGAATGAAGTGATCTCAAGAAAGGGGTGTTGTTTTTATTTTTTAAATAGGTCTTATGGCATGTTTGCACCTGATGAAAAAAAACCTGTAGAGAGGAAGAAACTGACAATGTGGGAGGAAAAGAATCATTCCAGGAGACAAGTCCTTGAGTATGAGAGGATCCAGTACACCTGTGGTGTGGGCACCAGTCGCATGTGGTTGTGGGCTCCTGGCATCTGTTCCTGTGTTCCTTCTCCCCAGCTTGACCATTAGCTTTTCTGAGGCCTGGAACTGCTTTCTCAGTAACTTGCATTCACCCTTTCTCTACACACACCCTTACCTGCAGGATATTTGCAGTTCACATAGTGTTTTCCTGAGTATTGTTCTACTAGGTGCCCACAGCGGCACAACCAATCTGAAATGGCTCCCAGGCCTGAGCCAGGTGCAAGGAATCAATCCACTCCTACCCCAGCAGCCTGGTCACACCCTCAGAACCCACTTCTGTGGCCTCTGCACATGCTGTTCCTTCTGCTTGGTACCTTTCCATATCTCATATGCCTGGATTTTCCTAATCATCCTTCAAGATCCAGCTTGAGTGACATTTCTGAAGCCTCCCCAGAATCAACCGGCAAAACAAAGTTAATCACTCGCTCTATTGTGCTCCACTCCACCACAATCTAACCATGCATTAACTTGTCTGTCTCTCCCAGAGTCACTGTCTGAATCAGGTAGCTGGGAGTAAAGACTGGTCAATAATATAAGAAGAAATAATGGTACCGAAATTCATAAATGGCTTAGCTATTCTTACCTTCGGGACTAGAAACACTGTTCCCTCCCATGCTGCTCAGAGGCTGGAGGAGGACGGTATAAAATGGCAGGTCCCAGCAATTGTGAAGGTAGTCACTAGCAGCCTTCGGCAGTGAGTTTCCCCAGCCAAGGGAGATGCTTCGCCCAAGTGCCCTGTGACTAGTTGATAAGGGGTATAAAGGACCTGCCCCCTTGCCTCAATTAGGGACATCTCTGCAGGCTTCCCTTGCAACAGGCTGAGGCCTCTGTTGAGACTACATGGGCAATTCAACTTTTTCTGCCCAGCCACCTTGCTGTCTTCTCTCCATTACAGGTGGTATTCCCAAGAGCATTCCAGTAAGCATTCCACTCACATCTCCCTCTCAAGAGTCTGTTTCCAGGGAACACGATCTAAAACAGGGGATTGGATCCCCAGTTGCCGTGTCTGGCACGTAGAAGATGCTCAATAAATATTAATTGAATGAATGTGTCTGTGTTTGTTTTCTCTTGGGCTCTCTGCCAAGGTTCAAGGTCTCGTATACAACGGACGCTCAATGAATGACCGAGCTCTAGGTGCTGGGGGATCTCAAGAAAGGGGTGTTGTTTTTATTTTTTAAATAGGTCTTATGGCATGTTTGCACCTGATGAAAAAAAACCTGTAGAGAGGAAGAAACTGACAATGTGGGAGGAAAAGAATCATTCCAGGAGACAAGTCCTTGAGTATGAGAGGATCCAGTACACCTGTGGTGTGGGCACCAGTCGCATGTGGTTGTGGGCTCCTGGCATCTGTTCCTGTGTTCCTTCTCCCCAGCTTGACCATTAGCTTTTCTGAGGCCTGGAACTGCTTTCTCAGTAACTTGCATTCACCCTTTCTCTACACACACCCTTACCTGCAGGATATTTGCAGTTCACATAGTGTTTTCCTGAGTATTGTTCTACTAGGTGCCCACAGCGGCACAACCAATCTGAAATGGCTCCCAGGCCTGAGCCAGGTGCAAGGAATCAATCCACTCCTACCCCAGCAGCCTGGTCACACCCTCAGAACCCACTTCTGTGGCCTCTGCACATGCTGTTCCTTCTGCTTGGTACCTTTCCATATCTCATATGCCTGGATTTTCCTAATCATCCTTCAAGATCCAGCTTGAGTGACATTTCTGAAGCCTCCCCAGAATCAACCGGCAAAACAAAGTTAATCACTCGCTCTATTGTGCTCCACTCCACCACAATCTAACCATGCATTAACTTGTCTGTCTCTCCCAGAGTCACTGTCTGAATCAGGTAGCTGGGAGTAAAGACTGGTCAATAATATAAGAAGAAATAATGGTACCGAAATTCATAAATGGCTTAGCTATTCTTACCTTCGGGACTAGAAACACTGTTCCCTCCCATGCTGCTCAGAGGCTGGAGGAGGACGGGATAAAATGGCAGGTCCCAGCAATTGTGAAGGTAGTCACTAGCAGCCTTCGGCAGTGAGTTTCCCCAGCCAAGGGAGCTGCTTCGCCCAAGTGCCCTGTGACTAGTTGATAAGGGGTATAAAGGACCTGCCCCCTTGCCTCAATTAGGGACATCTCTGCAGGCTTCCCTTGCAACAGGCTGAGGCCTCTGTTGAGACTACATGGGCAATTCAACTTTTTCTGCCCAGCCACCTTGCTGTCTTCTCTCCATTACAGGTGGTATTCCCAAGAGCATTCCAGTAAGCATTCCACTCACATCTCCCTCTCAAGAGTCTGTTTCCAGGGAACACGATCTAAAACAGGGGATTGGATCCCCAGTTGCCGTGTCTGGCACGTAGAAGATGCTCAATAAATATTAATTGAATGAATGTGTCTGTGTTTGTTTTCTCTTGGGCTCTCTGCCAAGGTTCAAGGTCTCGTATACAACGGACGCTCAATGAATGACCGAGCTCTAGGTGCTGGGGGTGGGGAGCTATCGCCCCAGACAGTTACCCGCCATCCCCAACACACACACCCAGCGAGACTGAGCGCCCCAAACTTGGGGCCTCGGCCCCGCCCCCCCGCCGCAGCTGCGGCCAGGAAGCGGGAGGGGGTGCAAGCGGGTTCCAGGGTGGGGAAGCGGCCCGCCTTCCGAATCCTCGGGGGGACCAGTACAGACAGCGGCGGCGGGGCGGTCACCGATCTGTCAGCTCCGCAGAACGGTTACTTTTAAAACGCCAAAATGGCGGAATTCTTTTTATTCTTTCCCTTTACGGCAAATAATGATGATAATAATCCCATTTTCCGTTGTAAAAATCAGAAATTGGCGATAGGAAAACTAAGTTTGCCAAATGATCCATTTCCTAAAAAAAAAAGCAAAACCCCGCCCTCTACACGCTCCCTTCCATTAATGAAAAACTCTTAATTGATTGCATTTCTTTAAAAACGAAGCCTCCCCCCTACCCTCTCCCGTGATCGCGGCCAGCAGCGCGGCGGAAGCGCACGCCTGGCCCCGGAGCCGGCGCCCGCCGGCCCTCAGCACTCCGCCCAGACCCCCTTAAGCCCGGCTCTCCCCGCCTCCTGCCCAGCCTGTGCGCCCCGCCGGAGGCGCTCTGAGGGAGCGGGCACCCGGGCCGGAACCCGAGCCCCCGCCGTGCTGGGCCGGCCGCGCTGGCGCGCCGTCCCAGCGCCCCGGGGTCCGAGCCCGCTCGCGCGCGGGATGCCTACCTGCAAGGCCCGCTTGCGACCGCCCGGCGCCGGGCTGCGGTCCGAGCCCCGCGCGCCTGCGCGCACAGGGGGGCGGGCCCGCCTCCCTGCAGGACGCAGGGTGCAGACCGCGAGCGGAGCAGGTGCTGGGGGCGCGGGCCCGGCTGTTCGGTGGCGCCCGCGCCCTCTTGCCTCGCTGCGAGGCCCGGCCGCGAGGGCCGAATGTCCACTCTCTCTGGCGCCGGACTGCGGCGCGGGGGAGGCGGGTCGAGATTCTTCCCCCCACTCCCTGCATCGCAGCCTGCAGCGCTCAGGGGGCGCGGGCACCACGGAGCCCGAAGAGGGCCTCGTGAGCCCCCCGAGCTGAGTGGTCAGTGACGAAGGACGAGGCTGCACTCCCGCACTCACCCTGGCCCGGTCGCTGCGCTGTCCAAATTCTTCCCGCCTCGCTTGCCCCCTACTTCAAGAGCGGAAGCCCAGTAACGTCAGAAAACGGCTTCAGAAGGTGCTGGAGGCTGTGGAACCGGAGGAAAGGAGGCCCCGCGCGAACTGGGTTCCAACCCTGGCCCTGCCTGGCAGAAAGGGCGGCATCAGGCGCGCCTCCGTTTGGATGACCCCATTGCGGTTGGCTGATGGTTTGCCCTGGGACACATGGCTTTGCCTTCCTGGTTGTTTTCAGTAATGGTTCCTGTTGTGGTGTTGCCTTGTACAAGTCATTGCTTCTCTGTTTCAATCCTTTGCTTATCTAACTAGTGTTAAAACAGAGGCCCAGCATGAAGTCACTTCTCCTGGACCAAGTCACCAAACTAGGGCTTAACGTTTTACCTAAATGTAGTTTCAGCCTTACCCCCGAGTGGAATTTTAAGCCATTTAGTCTGGAATTTCCTGATCGCTAGTGAGGTGATTTTCATAAGACCCCCTGCTCCTGCCAAGGAAGGGTGACTCTACCTGAAACAATCCCTAATCTCTTCTTTTGCTGACAACTTTTTGCCTCGCTCTCGTCTGTTAAAAACCTTCCATTCGGGGAAAATAAATTAATCAGCAGTTTTTCTATTAAAAAAAAAAAACACCTTCCATTTGGTACAATTCCTCGGAGCATTTCTCTACTTGCTACATGAGATGCTACCCAATTCATGAATCACTTAATAAAACCAATTAGATCTTCAAATTTACATGGTTGAATTTTGTTTAACACTCGCCAAATCTCCGTTACTGGTTCTTGTAGCACAAAACCTTTCTTGCACACCTCACAACAGGAACTTCTCATAGATTCGTGTAATTGAAGAGGTTAAGAGACTGCAAGCTCCAAGAGGGTAGGCAACATTAGTTTTTGTATCCCTACCACCTAGTACAGAGCTGGACACTGAATGGGTGCTCAATAAATACGGTAACTGACTCGTGATATACTATATGCAGATGAAAACAGAGAGACGTTAGATACAGACCAGAGCCCTAGCCCCTCTCCCACACTCATGATTTAACCTAATCCCTTATTTTACAGAAAAACACATTGAGTTCATTTGGCCTAAGGTTGTGGCCACAGATCAAATTTGTCTCTTGACTTCAGTTTAGATGAGAAAAGGGTTCCTAATTAATTGTAGGCAAATTCCCCAAATTATCATCAGGTTCAAATTTATGCAGACTTTATTCTGGTTGCCACACCAACACATTACATGTGTTCTTCCTTGCCGCAATGTCAATTTTTAATCCCATCTCATATTATTGGGAACAGGATTGCATCAGTTGAGGATGCTGGTTGCCATAACAATGAAAGTCTCTGTACACACCAATACACACACAACCAGTCACACATTTTTCTTCTCATTGCTACCCAGACTGTGCTTGTTCTAGATTCTAAAAGGTTTATTTTAGGTATTCAGATGATTAAAAGAAAGTGGTAAAACTACACAAACACATGACTTCTCAATAACAAATATATCTTTTGATAGCGATTAGACAAGCTGAATCTGAGCTAGTGGGATGCGGGAACAAACACCAATGTGAGTTGCTGAGACATTTTTCTGCTCATTCACAGTATTTTGATGGTCTTGACACCTTTTGTGGGCTTCATCACACACTTCAGATGGAGAGCCCCTCCCAAATTGATATGACTTAGAGAAGATTCTATTACACAGCCAGTTTGCTCTGCTGGTCCAGTCTGCCCTCAGGAGCAAGGGACAGCCCCCTCTTTTACAAGTCAATAGCCCCCAGTGTCTTCCCCAAGTTAAAGCCCTAAGGAAGGGTGGATCCAAGTTTTTTGAAGTTGGTCATAGAGACACTGAGAAAACTGTTGTTTGTAAGCAGCCCACACCTTTCTGTTCCTACAGATTTTAATACACCACTGCGGGAGCCCAGGCATTTCAGAAAAATCATCAGGATATGCCCTTTAAATGTGAAAACACTTTTGGTTCCAGCAACATGGCAGACTTTGCTAATAGGGAGTCCTCTCTACCACAAACACCCCAAAATCTTGGATAAAATATCACAAGAAAGGAAGCAAGCAGGTGAAGAAGGAAGCAGAGTACATCCATGCCTGAACTTGCAAGGGGAAATCAGCAGGAGCCGTAAACAGCGGGAAACAGAGCAACGAGGTGGTGGTGGCCTGATGTCTCTTGTCCTCGAAGTTACTGGATAGAGACAAGAACCAGCTGCTAGGGATTAGGTGGGGTCATACACGGAAAGACAGGAGATGGCATTAGGTCCATGGATCCATGTGACATTGGGAATTGGAACTGAAACTCAAACTCCTGTATAAAGACTGGACCCCCCCCACTCCCAGACAATACTGGTGGGGAAAATAACGTCCAAATATGATTAGCTTCAGGTCCCATTTTGCCCCTGGGGGAAAGGAAGGCAACAGTAAAGAACCTCTTGATCAAGCTGTATTAGTTTTCTATCACTGCCGAACAAATTACCACAAAGTCAGTGGATTAAAACACAAAATTATTATCTTGTAATTCTGGAGGTCAGAAGTCCAAAATGGGTCTCACTGGATACCAAATGATTTCTCCCCCAAAGAATTGTCAAGTGGAGACAAATTACTTAGGAAAGGTGACCCAAGAGCCCTAAGTCTCTGCAGAAGCCATTATTTCTTGCTTTGCTCTGGCTGTCCTCTCCGGGCACTCTTCTGATTTCATTTATCAGGTACCTTTCTATCAGTACTTTTGGGCTGCAATGACATAATAGGTTAAGCTGGGTGGGTTGCAACAAGTTACCTCACTATTCTGGAGGCTGGGAAGTCCACGGTCAACGCAGATCTGGGGTCCAATGAGGGTCTGCCTCTTGGCTTAATGACTGCCATCTCCTCGCTGTGTTCATCATCCCGCAGAAGGGGCAAGGGAGCTCCCTGGGTTTTTTTATATGGGCACTAATCCCATTCATGAGGGCTCCACCCTCATGACTTAATCACCTCCCAAAGGCTCTGGCTCCAAATATAACATGGGGGATTAGGTTTCAATGGATTAATTTTGGGGAGACAAACATTCGGTCTATAGCACTTCATATGCTCTAACCAGTTGTTTGGAATGAGTTTGCTAGAATGTTATCTTCTAATCTCCCTTTTCCCCACTTAAGGAACACATTGGCTTTCTGGTACAAGTCAGGTGCCTGGACTGTACAACCAGGTATAGAAGCTGGGAGTGGGTGGTATCTCCCTTAGAAAAGCTAAGCTATTAAGGGCAACAATCAATTTTCTTGGTGCACTTCATTCAGGAACCTCTTCCTGACTTTCAACAGCAACGAAGTAAGCTTTTATAACTTAATATACATCAGTAGATGTAATGTTTTAAACTCCATTAAAATATGAAATACTGCCTCATTTACTTATCTGTTAGGAAACAGATGGCATACTCCAACTGAGTAAATTTGAAGAGAATGTAAGTCTAAAAAGGCATGTGAAGGGTGTCAGAAAATCAGTTAACATTAGACCATGGGGCTAGGACAAGAGGTGGCAGTGGTTACCAGGTCCTGGAACAAGAGTGAGCTGTGTAGAGCAGACAGTATTTCCTTCAATTGGGGGCCACCACCAGCCTTAACTACGCAGGGGTCAGGGAGCTGTGAGAACGCTCCAACCTCCATCTCCTCCCTCCTGTGTGCTACTTCTGCTCCCTAATAGCAGAACCTGACTGGAAACCAGAAGGCAAAGGGGTATGTGGATGGAGTCAACAGAGGTAGGTTAGCTTCCTGGGGCTCAGGACAGGCAGAGAATGAGGGAATGGACGGCCAAAGACTGCTCCCTAATAGCAGAACCTGACTGGAAACCAGAAGGCAAAGGGGTATGTGGATGGAGTCAACAGAGGTAGGTTAGCTTCCTGGGGCTCAGGACAGGCAGAGAATGAGGGAATGGACGGCCAAAGGGAAGGTATCTATCCTGTTTTAGACAAAATTAAGTAACTGGACTTTAAATCTTTGACTTTGGTACCATGGACAAATCCCACCTGTTGCATCATCTATAAAATGCTGAATAACAATTTCTGCCAGTCATTGTAAAGACAAGCAGAACTGCCTGGCACCCTGCATCAGTTAGCTATTACTGCTCAGCCCCCAACTGAGCAGCACACAATCCTGTTTTACTTTGTCATGTCTGCTGGTTTAGGTTGACTGATTTAGGCCGGCTGCTTCAATCTGTAGGTGGCTGGGGGAACAGACAGCTTGACTGCTCTTATCTCCTAGGGCCAGTGGGCTGATGGGTACATTACTCTCATGGCAATGGCAGATGCAAAAGACCAAAACCAGTTGTGCAAGTACTTCTTAAGCCTATAGTTGTTTTCTGTAGTGCAGTAACAAATCACCACAAATTTGGTGGCATAAACAACATAAATTTATTATCTTACAGTTCTGGAGGTCAGAAGTCCAAGATGGGTTTCACTTTCAAAGTCCAAATGGGTCGAGGGGGTTTTTAGCCTGGAGGAGAGGACCTTCGCAAGATGAAGATGCGGACAGGGCTGTGCTGTCTGGAGGCTCTAGAGGATTCAGTGGCCCCTTCTGCCTTTAAAGCCACTAGTGTTGCATCTTCCAACCTGTGACTTTTTCACATGGACTTTTTCTGATTTTTGACTTTCCAGCCTCCCTATGGTGATTATACTGGACCTACCAGGATAATCCCCCATTCCTAGATATTAATTTAATCCTATCCATAAGGCTTCTTTTACCTTGTAAGGCAACATATTCCCAGGTGACAGGAATTAGAAGGTAGGCATCTTTGGTGGAGGGGAAGGCATTATCTAGCCTACCAAACATGTCATGCTTGCCAAAATTCCATTGGCTAAAATCAACTGACAGCAAGTACTCTGCTCATGGAGGCAGATGGGGATAATAGGAACACACAGATGCATATAAAATTTCTGAGTTATCTAATCTACCACACATCCAGTGAAGCCTCTAGTAAGTGCTTATTGAATATGAGTTTGGTCTTTGGTGACTCACTGTTACACTCTTGGAAGGCTTCCTGAAAATACCTATGAGCATCAATAATCTTTATTACAATCATAGCCACAGCTATGTGGGCTGAGCTATGCCGGGTGTGCAGGGCTAGTCATGTAAAGCCAAAGCAGATGAAAACTAATTTGAGATCTGCTCATGTCTAATTACAATGCTGTTGTGTCCTCTCAAATTACACTGAAATCTAGGTTGAGTTTCCTTCTTCCTCTACTGTTTGCCTTGAGCAAGATGACACATTCACTTTAAACCCTCTGAAGGTGTAGAATAGACTCTGCAGGGGTATTTGTTTCTTCACCTCTTTGTCAGAACTGGTTGAGCATGTCAGGGAAGTGAGGAAACATATTTGCTTTGCTCCGAGCAGGTCAGCCAATCTGCAGTGCTATGTCTACTGGTGGGCCCTACTCTCTGTAAGGGAAACTCACTGATCAGGGTACATGAAGACAACTGAGATGGTCAGGGGATTCAAAACTGCTGCACTGCAACAGGGGGTGAACGGATGTTTAACCTGGAGAAGAGGACCTTTACAACAGTACCAGAGGGAGACCAAACTAGAAGTAGTAGTGAACACTGTTAAGGGCCCAGACTGTGGTTGCTAAATACCATTTTCAGATAAAAATAAC